GTACATGTTCTTCAAAGCCAGGCCAAGCTTCAAGTTTTGGTATAGTAGGCTCTTTAGCTTTTTAAAAAAATGACAATTCTGGTGGTGAGCTGATAAAAAATAAAGCTGCTTTCCATTTGCATAAACATATTCTGTAGTCAGCTAAAAAATACAAAAATAGAGGCTGTGCTTTTAGCTCAGCGGCATAAGCGCCTGCCTTATAAGCGTGTGGCTGTGAGTTCAGTCCCTGGTACCAAAAAAAACACAAGTTTGTGCTTTCTTTCCCTCTATACTTTTTTTTTGAGTCAGGCTGGTCTTGAATTCAATTTGTAACCCAGGTTGGTCTCAAACTCACAGTGATCCTCCTGTCTCAGCTTCCCGAGTGCTGGGATTACAGGTGTGCGCCCCAACTCAGCGTCTTTCCTTCTTTACTTGGTATGCAAAGTAAAGAAAATTTCTTCCCTTCACATCATGAAGAAGAGCGTAACAGAAGCAGAGGACTCACTTTGCAATGGGGTACTCCCACATGTATCCCCATCCTCCGTGGAGCTGTACACAGTCGTAGGCCACACTGTTTTGCAGCTCAGATGCCCTGGATGAGCAAAAGAAGAAGCAGGAAAGGGCAGTACACAGTAAGTAAGAGAAGATGCTTTATCATCAAGAGATTAGTTATTTATGATTGCTTAAATGCATATACTTATCAGATAATTCAACTAAACATATTAGAAAAGAAGCTAAAAATCACACATAAAATAAATTTCAAGAGAACTTTCACATAAACGAATACCTTCCTTCATTTTTATTTCTGGCTGCATGTTTCTTAAGGCTAGAAACAAAATGTAAAGACTCAGGGCTGGGGACTTAGCTCAGCAGCATAAGTACCTGCCTGTCATGAGTTCGGTCCCCGGGACCAAAAAAAAGTAAAAACTCAAGATGGTTCGGCTCTTTCTGGCTTGAAAAGGGTGCAGTGAAGACTGAATTAGGTCCAGCTTATTTAGGTTCTCTGTATGATCTAATTTACCAGTCGTCTAATTCTTTTTCTCCTTGTAATATGTCCTTTTCTTTCCAAACATGCTACTTTCTTCCTGAAGATTACAATTCAGAATTCCAAAACGCTGAAAAAAATGTGTAAGGTACTAATGTTCCATCAGTAAACTGAAGGCGAAAGGAAAGCCCAGGAGGGTGGCCCGATGAAGCGCATCTTCCTACCCAGGAAGCATTACGAAGTTATTTAGGGTTATTCTTCAGAGTGACACTGCAGAGGAGTCAGAGAAGTCTTCTGATCTGATCACAGCCATTCCCCTTGTTTTGCAGGACTGGGCTCACGCCCAGGACCTCGCACGTGCTGGCTGACAGCCTTGGCCCTCTGCTCACCCAGTGTTAACTTTATCTACAATTAAACCCGGGGTGGCAGGGATCTCACACACTTTCACATAAAAACATGTCTATCCAAAACTCTTCTATTTTCTTTTTTTTTTTTTTTTGTCTTTTTTGTTTTTACCGGTACCAGGGATCGAACTCACGACTGCCTGCTTGCAAGGCAGGCGCTTATGCCGCTGAGCTAAATCCCCAGCCCCAACTCTTCTATTTTCAGTAGTTGCAAACATAAAGCACAGACACATCTTTTCTATTTAAAGTAATTTTTGACGTAAGCTATAGGATAGGAAAAGGTTTTCTAAATAGACAAATCTCCAGCGAGCAGTAATACTTGGAGTTCCATGATTTTCTGTATCTGGCAAGTATTTTGGTGAAGTATTTAATGGGTTATAACAGGTTGCTTCCCCTGGCTTTTATGTCTATAAATGTGTTTTGCTCGAGGAACACGTCAATAACTATGCAAATTTCTCTTTCCCCAAAAAACCTACATTCTTCACACTTTTTCACCCTAATCAAAGTACCTGATATTAATGTAAAAAGTCTCCATTAAGAGTTGTGGTTCCTTGCAATTCCATGTTACCTTTCACACTGTCATATTTCTTGTTGTGTGATCATCACACAAAGCACTATTCTGCACATTTCCCTTATTTTACATTTGACTAAACTGAACCGAGTTAATGAATAATGATAGGAATTTTTTCAAGGTTACTTTTGGCCTAATGAGATGTAAGAATTTTTCAACAAAAGGAAACTAAATCTACTTGCACAACCTGATTTAAATTCTATGTTCTTGCATCTTAAAACACACAAAAGCTTATATGGGTCAATCAACCCATCTTTACCAACATGGTAAAGGTGGTAACCCATCTTTACCATGTTAATCATCTGTATTTCAAACAAAAGTGTTTCTAAACAGGGTATCTTTTCATTTAATAGAGCACTGCAACTTTTGATTGGATAGTCACTCATTCAGTAATTTTTTTCCTTAGATCTGAAAAACACCTTAAATGGGAACATCTTGGGTGACCTAATCATTTCACTGATTAGCAGAAAGCGTCCCTGGAAAGACAAAGTTTGCTTAGAGCTACTTAATGGAAGAACTGCTACCGCACAGTATTCCAAGACTCCTAGCATTTTGTGTTCTCTCTTGGGCTCACCATACTGAAACACTTCAGATAATCTGAAATTAAATGTTCTTTGAATGAACTAAGCAGTCATTCTACTTCAGTCTCTTAATATTTTATTTTCAACAGCAAGTTATGAATTAAATACTAACCTGAGTAACTTTTAACACATTGTAAATAGGCCTAGTGGGGCTTGTCAGCAGTTTAAAAAAGTTGATCCCTCCTTGCATTTTCATTAACATCCCCAAAACTGAGTGGAAACCTGGCAGAACCCCACAGCAGTCTGCGCGCACCCCGCATTTTAATTTCTGTCACAGGCCTACCAGTACTTGGCCATGGAAGCAGTGGCAGAGTCCAGACGTTTTGCTTCATGCAGCTGCAGACAGTTGTCCACAAAAGCTCTGGTCACACATATGTGTGTTTTTAACTCTGCTAGTTTATGCTGCACAGTCTAGTGTTTAAAGAAGAGGAAAGAAGAAAATGAGCTTGGCAAAAGTACGTATTTTGATTCAGCATTTCAAAAATTACATAATAAAAGACACTGAGAGCAAAATTAATGTGGGATTGCTGATTTCATCTTCCAAAATAAAGCATAAGTTGAATTAATCAGCTTAAATTAATAAATTAGCACCAAATAAATGTATTTCAGTGCTAAGGAAGCTTGCACTAAAAGATGCAGAAACTGGTAAATATCAAAACTAATCTCATGTTTTAGACTCTAAAGTTCAGATTAGCAAAGGAAACTGCTTGGAAAACAGCGTTACTAACACATGGGCACCATCTTGTGGTACAGTCCTTTACGTACAGCTGTGAGCCACACCTGTTTTGAGACCAAATCCTTGAAGAATTATTCCTTATTAATGGAATTAACTATGTTTCCCTATTCTACCTTTGTCTTAGAGCAAAATAATAAAATATCAAGCTAGATGGGCTACAGCACACCACTTGTTCATAAGTACATCTAAGTATCCATTATGCCAATGCATATTATCTGTAATATGAATAATGGAATCAAAGCCCTCAGGAGGTAAAAATCCAGTGTACCAGAATCTTTTGTACCCCCTCTCTAAACACTTTCTGTCACCCCTCTGAATAGTATGTATAGCATATTCTTTAAATGAATCTGAATAATCTGGAATTGTCAGTGTTAACATACTATGCACTCTTGGAAACTGAGAGCATCTTCAATTATTCCTGGCTGCTCTCTCTTTAATGAAGTTACTTCATTCTTGATTTTTTGCTTATATACCCCAAGCTTTTGTGTTGACACTGTTTTCTTTGGCATCCACTTGAACCTCTTTCAGGAAATTGGCTTGGACTTGAAATACTGGCATGCTGTACCTTGAGAGCCTCCAAAAGTACACTCTATTCTAGATGACTATTTAAGATCGAGGCCCAGGTATGACCAGCTGGTTGCTTTCATTATGGAAATTCACACAAAGAGTTCTAAACATTCTCCCGTGGCATTTGTAAGACACAGGTTACAGCAGCATACAGGGAAATCAGTGACAAACCTGGTGGGACAGTGAAACACAGCAGCTCAGCACATCCTGTGTCTGCACTACACTAATCCAAAGCCAGGACTGAGCTCTCGAGACGGTAGGGGAGCTAGATGTTCAGAGGATCCTCGGCCTATTTTTACACTACTGGTCACAAGAATTCTCAAGCCACAAGACTGAATCTTTCAGGATCACTGGTGTGGAGACAGTTTCCGTACTTTTTATTTCTGGAAAATTGCATGGGTATATAATGACCCAGGACCTGGTTAGATCTCCGTGTGTCATGTGGAGCAGCAGGTCTGAGGGACAGATTCTGTCCAGATGTTTCAACATCCCAACTCAGCTGGTTTAAAAACACACACACAAAACATCACCACCTGTCTTTCCCTTGGTTTTATCCCACTCTTCTAAAACCAGAATGTAACTGGCGCCTAAGGATCCCCCAACCACACCTCGGGAAGGCTGTTCCCAACACCTTCCCCCTCCTATGCACTGGCCTCTGAATCTGAACAGGCTGGGCCTCCTCAGCATCTTCATGGGCTTTTTTTTTTCTTCCTGGTACCAGGGATTGAACTCATAACTTCGTGTTTGCCAAGCAGGCACTTACGCCAATGAACTAAATCCCCAGCCCATGGCCTTCTGTTTGTTTGTTTTTGAATCAGGGTTTCAATGTGTAGCTCAGGTTAGAATGGAACTTGGCACTTATTCCATTCTGGCCTTGAACTTGTGGTTGTCCTGCCTCAGCCTCCCGACTACTGGGATCATACAGGGGTGCCACCACGCCCAGCCTTTTTTCACCTCCCATTCTTTCCCCTTAATTTCTACCCTTCAAGTTGCACAAAGTTTCCCTACTCCTACCTCACACATTGAGGTTTACTCATGGGGAATCTAAAGATGGAACAAGAAATAAAAAAAGAAGACAATCTTGTCTATAAATTGAGAACAGAAAGCGGGAATATCCTATGGAATCTCCTGAAACTGAGTTCTAAACCCATTCTGGGCTCAGTCCAGTGATACTTCATTTGGAAAATAAAGGAGAATCTGACAAAGCTCAAGACATTTTTGCCCACCAGAATGCCACATTTGAGAATTTACGTGTGAGAGAAGCCCGATTCTCTCACATGAGAACTATTCCCATGGGAGTGGTGGGAGATTCCAGAAGCTCAAGTTAAATTTCACACCAGGATGGAGTCACTTAAAACCTGGCATTCAGGGAGGTCCAGAGCTCTGAGAAAAATTAATGCCTCCAAGAGTACATAATTTACTCTCTGCAGATAAAGGGATTGCATATTTACATATTCTTGGCGCTGAGCTGAGCGCCACCTAACAGAAGCAGCCTGGCCTTTGCCCTTCACTGCAGACACTGCGCCGTGTGTCCTGAAGCCATCCTCTAGAGAATGGGAGCTAACAGCAGCACCACACAGCGTGAGGCAAGCGTTCCCGATGGATGATCAACAAGTTCACAGCAATATCTTCAGCAGTTACTAACATCTGCTAATCGGTACCACCGCACCTAGCACTTTAAAAATTCTTTTTAAGTTACTAAGACGACTGGATAGAGGCTCCTTCAGAGTTCACAGTAACAAATATCTCAGACTCTTAGAATCCGAAGACTCTGAGGGAGATTACCTGGCCCAGCAGTCATTTAAACAACACCATTAGCTGTACATACCCGATGCCTTCAGATGTAAATGGAAACAGATGAGCTGTGTTAGCTAATCTTTCAGTTAATTAAGAACTAGATACCCTTTATGCAGGCACACAAGGGAAAAGCACCCCCCCCCCATCCTCTGTGCCCTTAAAATCAAGAGCATGAACCACACAGGATATGACTAATCGGGACCTCGACTTAGAATAGTACATTCCATTTTTATTTCAGTACCCACTGAGTGAGCAAAAATATAGAAAGAAAAAAGGGCCATTTACTCAGACTTTTGGGCAACAAGACCCATGTGGTTAAGAATGTAGATTTTGGACTTAAGAATGTCTGTGTAGTTTTGATGAAGTTATGTAAATTTTCTTTGCTTCAACTTCCTTATCTGTAAAAAGAATACAATTTAATACTTACTTTTTATAGCTGTGAAGCAAAAAAGACATTTCATTTAGCATAAGTCAATAAATAATATTTCATTAGCAATTTTAATGTTTTATGGTCTATTCCAGGGGAAATCATGAGTAGATATAGCATCTACTGTCATTATAGAGAAATAAAAAATCTGTAGCTATTACTATTTCGGTATTATAGCCCTCCATTAAAAAAAATGTAAATTTTATGACCATATATGCAAATGGTCAGAAAGACCCAAAATGTTCAAAATTCAAGAACCAGATAAAGGGAACTGAAGAGCTGCACAGTGATAAAATGATGTGAGGCCAAGTAAACTGTGACTGACACGGGTCTTCTTTTCAGGTGAATAACTAGAACCAGAAAAGGAGCTGTAAGCATGTATCGGTCATTCATTATCTCCACGTATATTTCTAACTTGAAATAGGAACATTTGTTTCCAAAGACACTTACTTAATACAACAGAAAAATTGGAAGAAAAGCTCAGAAACTTCAGCACTTACTCCTATTTGAATATAGTAGTACTCAAACCTGTGTGAATAATAATAGTACATGAACCTGTGTGAACAAAATGCTACTGCCCCCTACCGAAAATTTAGTGAACTGCCTTTGCAGAAAGGCAATAAAATGACGTGAAAAACTGGATTGAAACTATTTGTTTTTTACTATGAAACTACAATACGCAGATACGGCCATGTGTTACATAACTATAGGGATATTCTGAGAAACATGCCATCAGACAATGTCATCGCTGTGCGATTGTCACAAAACATACTTACACAGACCCACATGGTACAGGTCAGCTGCTGTATTGTTAGCAATGAAGAGCCTTGGGAAACACAAGATGATGAGACTCTGCTGGCATGGGCAGCACACTGTTCTACAATAAGCATTTTTAAATAAGTAGGCGTATACCCCACTGGCCAAGTACAGTACTATGAATATATGAACAAATAGTGCTGCCATTTATTATCAACTATTATGCACCACACATAATCATACTTTTATATCACTGACGGTTTGTTTACACTGGTATTTCCACAGACACACCCATAATTCACTGGCTGTGTCAGTGGGTCACACTCACACGGCCGCTGATGGGAATATGTCGTACACGACTGTATTTTCAAAAAAGCTTTTTCTTTTATAAGAAAATAGTACATACAGCTCAATTTCCTGTTTCCTTCATGGTTATATGTCAAGCCACATGCTTTCTGAGCCATTCAGGCAACCCGAATAATATTATAGTTATTTTTGCTATATGTAGTATGAAATCCAAAAGCAGGAAATACACACTTCCAAAGGATGGAAATTATGTTTACTTAGCTGAACTTTTTACCGACTAAGTCCTATAGCCTTATTTTGTGAAATGTCTTAATAAACATTTTTGATTTGTAAATGGTAAGGATTGAATATCAGAGGCAAATGTTACTGATGCTGTTTCGCCTACAGAGGAGACAGTCACAGAGTGATACCCAGCGGTGTCACTTTCTGCAAACTGCCAGGAGCTTCCAGGTGGATTTCCCAGTCTTACCCATCAAATCAGCCCTGAACACAACCTCAACAGGCAACTAATAAGTATGTGCTCAGTGAAACAAAAAGGAGTAAGTATATCAGTATTTCTCATCAGGAGCCTACAGGCACTAGAATTTTGAATGAGATTAGCTGTAATGCAAAACTATCTCCGAATAATGAGACATTTAACAACACTCTCCTCTAAACAAAAGGTACACTTCCAGGTACTGCCCCTGCCCCCATCTTTGACATTTCTGGATACCTAGGGGCAGAGGGCCAGCATTGGGACCCACTGCCCATGACTCATAAACAAAAGGAAATACACAGTATAATATCCTGGCTCTAAGAAAACTAGATTAGCCAACTCCCCCTCCCCCACCCACTCTCTATTTCCTCCCACCCTGCCTCCCCAGCCTCCCCTGCTGGCTGAGGATTGGGTCCAAGGTAGCTGAGCCACATCCCTGGCCCTGGACCCCTTTTTCTGTTTTAACACAGTGTTGCTGAATTGCCCGTTAGCTCTTGTGCAATCCTGAGATTACCAGTGTGGATGTAAGCACATTTGTACTGTTTTCGTTTGCTTGCTTGATGCTACTGGAGATTGAGCCTAGGGTCTTCACAGCAAGCTGTAGCCCCAGCCCTTGTCTTTTTTACGTTTTGAGACATGGTGTAGTCTGCCAAGTTACTAGGCTGGAACTTTAGATGCTCCTGCTTTGGCCTTCCAGAGCACTAGGATTATAGGCACGTAGCACCATGCCTGGCTTGCTTGTTAAATTGTATGCTTGGACTGAGTGTGCGCCTCACTTTTACAGCTTTGGAATATATACATGAAGACGTGTTTTTCAGAATAGAGAAAAGTTAACCTGATGAATATATAGGTAGTAAGCAGTTTCCAAAAACACAGAAGACAAGGCCCATAGCAACAGCTAACTTTAATGAGGGCTTATTTTACTAGCCAATAGTCTAAGCACTTACTGTACCAAATCTCCACAGCAATCCTACGAGGCAGCTACTAATATTATTCATAAATACAATTTTATATACCAAGTGCATTTAAAAAATCTTACAGAGAGGAAAATATTTCTGAGATAACTTGCCTAGACTAGAGAAATTTCAGTAGCTAGGCTAGAATTTAAACCATGCTTAAACATAATCTCTGTGATGCTGCTCTTGAAACAATACCAATGTGTTTTACTTCTATCTTCACCTTCGCAAAATCTTTTAGTCAAAGTCACTGTGGTTGAAATTTTAAAAATGAAATACAATTCAAGGTCTCTGCTAGCCAGATGTTTCACCAATTTGATGACTGCAATGCTTATTCTTTTTTGTCTTTTTCATTTTTATTGGTACTGGGGATCGAACTCACGACTGCCTGCTTGCAAGGCAGGTGCTTATGCCGCTGAGCTAAATCCCTAGCCCCAATGCTTATTCTTTTAATGAGAAACTAGAGGGTCCGAAATTGGACTGGTGTATTTGTGATGATCACTACCCACCGAGTTCTTTCGCAATACCTTAAACTTCCTGGAGCGCCTGTAACCCTCCACGTCCTCTCTGTTTGCACAGGCTGTGTCTGTACTAGTAACGCTCAGACACAAAGCGTAGAAGATCCAACGGAGTTCACAGTCACTGCCCTAAGGGGCCCCAGCAGTGCAGTGCTAGCACGCTATGGTGCTTCTCTAGTTGGCTGAGTCTTTCTCTGGAAAAAGAGCATTTTGAACCTTCCACCCTCCCCTCAGATACCTCAGTGACTCTTTACTTTTTCGAGAACCAACTTTCCCTGTTGATACTTAAGGAAATCAGAGCTTTTTGACAAAAAATTTTGTGACCAACAGAGCTACATAGCAAAGAACCAAAGCAACTGATTCTCATCCTACACTCACAGTGTGTCCCGTACTGAGTCCTGTAAGCACTGCAGTGTGCTGCAATACTCCCATCAATCATGAGAACAAAAAATAACCTCGGCATCTCCTCTGACTCCTGCATCTACCCCTACTCTCCCTCCCCCCTCATTATCGTCTTTATTCTCAGCTCTCACTCATTGGTAGGCAAAAGTCAGCAAAGAGCCATGTGTCTTCACGATGTTTACTTCCTTTGCTGGGTCTGTCACTCCACACCAGCACAGGCACCACTGAAGCCACTCCCAGCTCCCTCCAATACTCTCCAGGTTTGCTTTCTTCTTCCTGATGCTCACGCTCAGGCATCTCTGCAGGCTCTTCCTTTTCTACTCCATCTGCAGATCTTGTAGAAATTCTCCATGGGACCTCTGATTTCATTTTCTGCTCTTTTTTCCTTAAGCATCTCATTCATGGATACCACACATCAAAATCATCCCCAATTTGCGTTTGCCCCAGCCCCGTTTCAGATGAGTGAACGGCTGTCTCCTAGTACTAACCCCTGAAGCCAAGCTTACCTGTATGTGTGCAATTGTTTTCCCAAAGGCTTTTCTCTGCTTTACGTAGTTCCTGGTTTCTTCAAACATGAATTCGCAGGCAGAAATTGCCAAATCAGCAATTAACAACCTTTCCTAAAACCCAAAAAATTAAGTCTTAAGCATTACTCTAATTACACAAACGATTGTCACACAATTTCAATTATAATACATCTTATAAGTAGTCTTTATAATGAACTCCTAAAATTTTTTTAACTCTTTAAAATAAAATACCCCCACAGAGATTTGAGATTCTGACCTACTTCAAAGAAAAATTCTTTAAAAAATTCTTTATTTTTATGAGACTATTACTATGTGTCATCCACATCGCTTTCTCTTCTTTCTACTCATGTATTAGTAAAGAAATTCCATAGCTGATGCTCTTTATTGATCTCTGTACTACACAACAATGTATCTGTACAAATAAGTATCTTCAAGAATGTAAGTTAAGGCTACTAGTGGAAAAGTAGTTTAGAATAAATCCATCATGCCGATGATTTTTATACTGTATTTCCACACCAGGTTCCCAGCCCTTTTCCCCAATTTCATATTTAGCTCATGCCAAGGCATTCACAAATGTATCCCTTCATGCTGGAACACAAAGCCCAATGATCTTTAGGCAACCATATTCAAAAAACAGGTGTGGGAGCTAGATTTCATGCTGGTAAAATTTTTTAGTTTGAACTTCACCCCTTTTTCCTTTTGAGCCAAAGTTATTTAAAATTACCAGATGTTTACAGTGATATTCCTCACACAGAGCTAAAAGTTCTTTGGCTTCTAGTTAATAGGAATCACAGAACTGAAAAAAATCTATTTTTCCCAGTTGTTTTATAGGTTTTGGTTGGATATCCCTGAGTTGTTTGACATGCATGGATTTACAAGGGCTGATCAATAAATAGTGTATATTTAAATTTAAAAATGATTACAGTTAATAAAAGACACACTGGCATTAACTCCCCTCAAACACTTCCCCTCTCTTCAGCCACACTTATCCTATCATTCTCACCACATTTTGAAGAAGTTCTGGAAGTGCTTTTTCATATCTTTCCAAGGTGTGATTAAAAAATGTAGTTAATGTTGCTTCCATGGTTTAGGGAAGAAAGACAAGCCCTGAAATGTAGTGTGTTCTCAGTCACCTTATTCCCCAGATCCTATTTGTTATGTGACTTCTAGATCTTCCTAGCAGTAAAAATGATCATGAAAGGTAAATCAGGATATCGTGGCAGCTTTGATAGTACAAATAAAGGCCTTCACAAAAAAGACTTCTAGAATATGCCAGAAAGTGGCCAAAAACAGGGGACAAGCATGTTCAAAGCACAGGGCAGGGGATACGCTGAAGGAGAGCAACAGCAATATACCTTTTACTGTAGTGGATGTTGAAAAATGTAAGCATTCACTGTGTTTTTCAATCGTACTTTGTACATGGTCCCGTATTATTCTACACTAGCGCTAATTTCTGACCTGTGGGAGCTCTTGCATGAGGTAATAGAAGCCTTTGTTCTCTTCTCCAAGGAGGGCACTTGCTGGCAATCGGACATCTTCAAAGAACAATTCTGCAGTATCCTACAAGGACATGCAAGTAGGTAAGACACACCCTGAGCTGGTCCCTGTTTCCCAATACCCCTATGTGGTAACTTTTATTATTTCCTTTCAAGAATTTTTACAAGGAACAAACTGGAAGCCATGCAGGAGTGGTCAGCAAGCATAGTAAATGCTAAGTCAGGGAGTCAAACCAGGTCCATCTGACCCCAACTTGTGACTTCTCCACTGGACTACACTGTCATTCAGGCTCCAGTATTGTCCAGTTCTCTAAGGAATAAGAATTTTCAAGACATTTGCAGCAAAACTTGTTTTTGGTAATACATAGGAACATATTTTCTGTTTTTAATTCATGATTTTCTTTAAAAAAATTAATTTTCTTTAACAAACTTCAAAAAGAGTTTGCTTAATACGGTAAGTTATTTGCCATCTCTAAAACAGATATTCAAAATATCCTGATTCATGTATTTTGCTGACTACCGGAAAGAGACGGCATTCTTTAGAAAGAATGATCTTTCTAAAATCCTCATTCCAGGAGGTCGGCGTAGGAAGCAGGTATGACAGTGCCACCTGTAATTCTCTGCATGTCTTTTCTGATTGACAGTAACAATTGCTACCTGAATATGAGTTACATTATGACTTACCTGGGCCTTTAATCCCATTTTTTGTAGCTTCCGTCCCTTGATGAATCCTTTCATCCCATTTTCCACCAGAAAAAGGCTAATGCCATGGGCAGGGGATCGAGCTTCGCGGTTTGTGACTGCGACTACAATCACCACATCACTTAGCCACCCGTTGGTGATGAACACCTGCAAAACCCCAGGTGTATGATCACACTCCGTGATTCTTAAGTCCACACAAGTCAGGACTGGTGAACGCGTATTTACAAGGACTAAAACAAACAGAACATGCTTTCTTTATGTCTCTCTGTGCCCTGTCTGAACACATGCAGGACTGTATTTTTTCAGCATGCACTCCACTATGGCACTTCCTTGTTTAAAAGCCTTGTAAGTCTCCCAAGTTTTCTGCCTTCCACGGTAACAGTGAGCACTTTATGTAGCTGACACAATGGAGTTGCTGAGTGATTTTTGATTAAAGCATCCAGCAGTTGCTATCTGTGTGCTCTAAAACCCATGGTCTCAGACATGCATTAACTATGGGTAATAAGCAAACAATGGAATGGAAGAAGGTGGGGTGGTCTACAGGGCAAAAATCATTCACGTGAATCCTGTTCCCACAATCGAAAAATCAAATGATTTCTCCAAACACTGTTGTCGAATTCATTACAGAACTGGTTTAATGGATTGTAAATCCCTCCTACAATAGTTTGACCGCTTGTATTTCCATCGTGACTGACAGCCTTTCTAAGAAAATTAAAAGGGAATTCTCTCTTTTTCTGTGGCCTTTCTCAGTTTGCATTCTAATTGTGACAGTCAAAAGTTTGAAAAGAATTGGAATTATTCCTGATGGACGTAAGTTTTACTAAATGCTTATAACATAAGCTCACTGTGTTATACAGACAGGACATAAAGTGAACAAAGCAGGGAAACATTTGAGTATAATACAAATATCACTATGAGTTTCCTTCCTTAGCCCTTATAGTTGGAATTTTCTCTGCATTCTGCGTGCTGCTTTTTCACTGCATGTCGACACAAACTTATCTGTAATTATAATAATATAATAATCATGTAGTTGAAAACTTTCGGCTGAAATTTTATAGGTTAGATACTAGTTCTGACGTACTGTATTTACTTCCTCACTCTTTTACTTTCATTTGCTTTCCATTTTTTTACTGCTCTTATTATAATAGGGTTTTTGAAACAGGCAATGGCGTCTTTGGTGAGAGCTTCTCACAGCAGAATGGGCTCAGATTTGTTTTTTTAATAATACAGGTTGAACCTACGGCTTCGCCTATGCTAGGAAAGCGCACTATGCCTCAGCTACATCTCCAGCCCTTGTAATTTTGCAAGATGGTCTTGTTAAGTTGCTGAGACAGGCCTTGACTTTGTGATCCTTCTGCCTCAGCATCTTCGGTAGTTAGGGTTAAAGGCATGTGGCCATAGTGCTGAGCCCATTTATTTTGGACTAAATATCCCACTCTTCTTTTAAAACAAGCTCTTTGTATATGGGCAGTTAACTGAATACTCATTGCAATCAGCCTAAATTTATAATTTAGACTTATATTTCTTTATGCACATTTGAGTAACATAAATGGTTTATGGTAGTCTACAAAAATGCTTAGAACATGAAATATGTTGTTTCCAACTTTTAGAGATGTGCAGTGCATATTAGGCTGTCAGAGTGAGAAGTTATGCACATCTTCCAAATTTATTTGACCATACAGGTAATATTTTTGTCATGACAAAATTACAGAATGTTGTTCAGAAACCGAGAATTTCAAAAATCTAGTCTGCACACTGACATTAGTCCATAAACTGCCAGCAGCCTCTGGTAACATAAATATAGACATTTTGTGAATGTTTAGTTTCCTAGTAATGATATTCTAAGAACACATGAAGATATTAAACTGAAACTAACTGGAAATAAAGAGAATTTTTAATGAAGAAACCAAGGCTGGGGTATTGTTCAGTTGTACAGTACATGCATAGTACTTTCCAGGCCCTAAGCTCAACACTCAGAGCCAACATCCAAATAAACAACAAACAGAAAAACTCACCTTTCAACAGATCTTTGTACATATTTTCAGTTAGACCTCCTTGGAACAGTATAAAAAATAAGCATCCTTCTTTCACTTACCACTCAGTTAACAAAACATATTTACCAAGTACTGTGTGTACCAGACATGAGCTTAGGTACAGACATTACCACTCATCCTCAGACACTTGAAGGGATATGACTGCTGCTGAGCCATTTGTAACCCCGTTGCAGGGATGTGTGGCAGTGTGGTCCAAGTCTATCAGTGGGTTAGAAGGACTGAAGGGCTCTCAGTTGATAACACCTGGTCCCTTTCTGTCCTAGGCTATTTGTAAACTCTTTGATATTCACCAGAAAGATTTCCCCCTAAATCTTTCATTGACAAAGAGTTCAGCTATCGGTCCCATATTTGAGTAACATGGACGGTCCTTCCCCCTATCTTCCCTTTTCCTGGTTTGGAAAGGGCTGTTTAGAAACTGAAACAGTTTTTATGCAGTATTTGTGAGAGAGTACACAACATCAAACACAGAGACTGCTACCACAGGTCTTAGGAATACAAAAGCTGGAAGCTTCTTGCTATCTCTAAGCACTGAAATGAGCAATTTGTGTGTGCATCCTTAGGTCTAGGAGATTCAATAACGAGCAGAATTTGAGACATTATTACCCATAGCATGCCTCTGGAGAGCAGGTCTAGAAAGCCTCTCCTTACACACCTTGCTTCCATTGAGAATCCAGTCACTTCCATCTTTTTTGGCATTTGTTCTGACTCCTTGTAAGTCACTGTAATTGAAAGAAATGATTAAAAAATTACCAGTAGGTAAAAAATCAGATTATACAAATGCTGCCATGTAAGTATATAATGTAATTAATTCAAATTGGATACATTATAAAACTCCTAATATTCACATGATTGCAATTCACAAAACTCCTTAATATTCACATGATTGCAATTATGTTGGATATAGTATATTCTAAAGGTATTTCATGAATGAATCATTTAAATCAGTGAGACTTTAGAGAGCGCACAGACCTCCAAACGGGACTAGGAGGGTATTCCAAAGGCTGCCTATGTTACTGAGCTTATGTGTCATCACGCATCACATTTTTACCTTCCTTTATACCCATTGGCACCTTTCTTTACCTCTAATTCATCACAAGATGAGCTGCGTAAAACACTATGGCTCAAGTGCCATTTATTCTCACAAATTTGTTCTTAAAGTAGAATATTTCTCTAAGTATCAAAAAAAATAATTAAAATACAAAATAAATACAAACAATATTCCAGAGGAGAAAATAATTTTAAAAAACTTTTATCTCCTAACCAACTTTCTAAAAATATACTTTGTAATATATTTAAAGGACACAGATACACATACACACGTATTTTTATACAATTGTATCCATATATATGATTTTGACCTCTTAATAACATTTTTTTCTGTAAGATAAATTTGACCCACAAGGAAGACCATAAGAATTTGTCATGATTTGATTTATCATGTTTGCACTCCACATTTCCTGGAGGAGCTGGTATGTGTGTATTGTACATCTTAATTCCTTTTTTCATCCTTTTTCTACCCCACCATTTCTTTCTCTCTTTTTTGTTTGAGACAAGGTTTGGCCTTGAGCTCATTGTGTAGCCCAGGTTGGTGTCGAACTCATGGCAATCCTCCTGCCTCAGCCTCCTGAGTGCTGGGATTACAGCTGTGCACCACACCTGGCACTGCCCTCCATTTCTTAATCCTCTTTCCCCCTTGAGAAAGATTTGCCTCTATACTTCCTATTATCTGTATTGAATTTTACTCTTTATTAATACTCTGGGTTTTTTGCATAAGAGAAACTATATGTTAGTTATGCTGTGTGTCTGACTTACTTCACTTAATACATGGTCTCCAGTTGTAGCCTTCTCCTCCATGGAACACTTAGGCTTCAACAGTCATGAATACCCTAACAGTGAACAGAATCATCCATACATATTTCCCTTCAAATATTAGGAAATTTTCATGATTCTTCCAGTATATGGTCTTTATATTTTTATACTCCATGGAAGCTTTTAAAATTTTTTTAAATCACTCTTTGTATTATGCTGAATAATGCTTCCAAACACCTCAGGTCCTAATCCTAAAGCCTATTAAGTGTTGCTGCGGCAGGTTAATCCTGATCATCAACTTCAGCGGGTGAATAAACTGCTCAAGAGGTGAGTGGATCACAGGCCGCTGACCGCATCAGCAGATTAATCCCGGGAGCTCAGAGCAGGGTGGGCTGGAAGTGGGCGGGCAGTCTTTCTGCAGGAAGTGGGTTCTGGGCTTGTGGTGCTGGGAACTCAGTCCACAGCTGGTTCTGACCTCTTCCTCTCCGGTTCTCCTTTCTTCTGTCCTCCTGGACTGCTGTGACTTGAGCAGCTTTCTTCTGTGCTCTCCTGCCCTGATGTTTCTGCCTAGAGGCAGCTGAATGCAGACTGAAATACCAGTGAGCTGAGCTAAAAATAAAACTCTCTTCTTTTAAACTATGGGTGTTAAGCATTTTGTACTGGTGACAGGAACACTCACCAGCAGTCACCTTACGTGAAAATAGGATTTTAAACTGATCGTGGGGTTATGTGCTGGTGATCCCAGTCTCTGGCAGGATGACACAAAAAGATCAGAAGTTGGAGCCCATCCTGGGTGGCTCAGACACTTGGCAAGATCCTTCTCAAAATAAAAGAACAAAAAAAAAAAAGAAAAAAAAAACCCATTTAAATAACAGCTACTGGTATAGCTCAGTCAGTGCAGAGGCCCTATATTCAATCCCCATTTAAAAAAAAAAAAAGGATCTTGCAGAAATGATTAACTTATGAAGGATGTTAGAATGGGGAAAATACCATATATTATCTGGGTGAGTCCTAAATATCATCATAAATGTTCTAGAAAAAAGGCAGAAGTAGATTACATACACAGGAAAGGGAAAAAAAATGCGCTCACAGAGGGACCAAGCCAAGAAATGCCACAGCCACCAGAAGATGGAAAGGTAGGGAATGGATCTTCCCGAGCCTTCGGGAGGCAGCTTGGCCCTGCTGACACTTTGATGTGGGCTCCGTGATACTGATTTTGAATCTCTGGGCTTCAAATTAAATTTCTATTGTTTTAAGCCTGAACTTTGTGGTAATTTGCCACAAAAGCCATAATAACATCTATATTCTCTTAAGAGTGTGCACCTTAAAAGACCTCATCTTCCCATCTACCTGAGAAAGTGGTATATTTGACCACATGCTCCTTGCCTAACATGCTGCTTTGAGATGGCTATCTTTAGAAAGACCTGATGCTAAAGCTGTCCTTGGCTGGACCTGAAAATCTGGATGTCTGAAGATTCTCCATATTCTCACACCTAAAATGTATGTCCGCACCATCTGCACAAACAACATGGCTGTGCTGAACAACTACTTACCCTGTGGGAACCTCAACTCTGAAAACACAGTGGGCAGAAGGTGCCTGTGTTACCAGCCTCCAATGACATCCTGGGCACTGAGTCACCAACCAGCTATGTCCTGGTAGATAACAGCTCAAACCACTGTTATAACTTGTTGCTGAAGGAATTGAGCATGTTCTGCGTGACTTCACTGGAGGAAACTGAACAACTGTTTTTACTTTCTAGACACCTCGTGGAGGCTTTTCCTTCTGTGGACTGTGGTTTGTGTCTTTTCACTGTAATAAATCACAGCCATAGAAATGATAAATGCCCTCTTCCACCTCACTGAATCTGGGGTTGGTGGTGAATAGGGAGATCCAACACACCAAGATATTAAAAATGAAACTCTAAACTTAGCCTTTGCATGTCTAATCATTTCAAACACTGTGGGAAAGTTTCAGGAGGGAATTACGTAACTATGGAACCACCAATCTGAAGACAAGTTCAAAGGACGAGATTTGTGAATCAGTCTGAACCTATTACCAAAAGAATACTGCCATTAGTAGACATTTTAAAGCTAAACACAGTTGTATTCTGAAATCATAATTTGCATCAATTAATAGGTACAGGATAAAGTAGCACTACTAAAACCTATACATAGTCTTTTAAAACAATTCTTCTTTGCAGGGACTTCCCAAGGTAACAAGTGTAATGACTCAGTTAGTGAATTTTTCTTATATTTCTGCATGGTAAATATAAAATAATGAAAATAGTTTAACAAAACATATCGATTGAAAATGCCAAAAATTCAGATTCTCACAATGGTTCTCTTAAGAAGTATTATTTAAATGTCACTGATACAAGTTTTTAGGTTCAGAGAATTTTACCCAAGACCATGCAGCTGAGGTCACAACACCCTCATTCAAATACAGCTGTCAGTTCACTCCTTGCACTTGGTTAAAATATCTCATTCCTTATTTTCTGTTTTTGCCTAACATAGGGAACACAATACCTCTACGGCCCGTGAGATTATTATGTAACCAAACAAGAAAGTCCATGTGAAAGCCCTTATAGAATGTTAAGGTATCATACAAATGCACGTAATTATACACAGTGAAGTCTCCTGCCTACGTGGGAGAACAGCAAAGCTCTTGGGTTATTTGTAGCAATTAAGGCCTTTTTTCTTGGAGACCAAATCAAAGCGATATAGGGCGGGCAACCTGCTCTAAATGAAGGCACAGGGAACCAGGTCTCATCTTCTCTGCTTCCCTCATTTCCCAGCACAGCTTCTTAACACTTTAACACTCTTCTTCATTGACAGCTGGTTTCTCCAATTTGCATTTTTACTTTTAAAATCTGCTGGGCCAGCCTGTCTTTAGTTCTAAACACACATTTTATTTTTATTTTATTTTATCTTTGTGTTCCAGAGATCAAACTCGCGACCTCATACTTGCCAGGCAGACACTTATGCAGCTGAGCTAAATCTCCAGCCTTAAATACACATTTTAAACAGCTTGTTCAACATTTCTAATGCAAAGCTCACCCCACTTTTAAAATTCATTATATTAAACATTCAACTTACATTCCACAATTTGCACAATATTTCAAACACAGCAGCTACTACAACCTGCTTTAATATCATTTGTATATAAAAATGCCTTTTCTATTGGAGTTTCAAGTTACTCAAGGTCATGAATTATGTGGTGTTCACCTTTATCTTGCTCTCAGCACACAGATTGGAGACTTACAGACTTACAGACTCTGTCCTTGGAACCCTAGGATCCCTGGGGTACTGGTTGCAGAACTCCTTGAACGCTACAAAATCCACAGATGCTACGCTACAATGGTGTGCTAGTTACATGTAACTAATACGTATCTTCCTGTACACTGTAACTCATCTCTAGATGATAGCACCTAATATGGTACAAATATATATATGTACATAAATAGATATTACAACATATTATTTATATGTTGGGTATGGAAAGAATTTTTTTCTGAGTACTTCTGACCTGAGGCTATTTGGATCACAGAGGTGGAACCCACAGAACGGGAAAGCTGAATGTGCTAAGAAAATGTTTCTATCACACCATTGCTTCCAGGAGTGAAACCAACCAAGTGGTGCCTTACCTCCCAGCCCCCGGCTCCGTCATGGCGATGGCACCGATACATTTGCCTGCAGTCATCCGGGGGATGAAGTGTTTAATCTGTTCTTCCGAGCCATAATTTGCAATGTAGGGCATGACAATTTCTGAATGAAGACTAAAACCTGGGCCTGTACAATTTGTGTAGCATCTTAGGAAGAAAAAAGGAAGTCAATTTAAAACATAAAATGTTTATTTTGCAGTTCTTGGGTTTTAAAATTTTTAATCAAAATGACTAATACATGCCCGAGGATATAGCTCAGTGGTACGGTGCCTGCCTGGCAAGTACAAGATCCTGAGTTTGATTCCTGGTATCAAAATAAAAGACTAATATAACAAACAGTTAAAGGACTTATACTGGGCAATAATCTACCTCCTCATAAACCTATGACATCCTTGGGGCTGGGGATTTAGCTTAGCAGCATAAGTGCCTACCTTGCAAGCCTGTGGTCATGAGTTTGATCCCTGGTACCGGTAAAAATACAAAGGAAAAAAAAAAAACAAAAAACCTATAACATCCTCACTGTTTTCTCTCCGCTTGTACTAACCTTTTAATTGCCCATTCTAACATAATAGCAATGCTCTAACAGCTTAGTAAATACTTCATGAATTAAGAGATAAATTGCTGAGCCCCTAGAATTGTATTTCCCTAAAATGACAACTATTTTTATTTATGGCAAACTATCTTTGGATACCTTATTTCACAAACACCTTTGTTTGCAAACAATGTTTTTCCAAACAGAAGCACTTGGCAAAACTTCGTTTTTGTTTTCAAACTCTGCATTAGGTGACAAACACCAGGATAGCCATCATTCCACACAAACACAAATATGGCCTTCCTTTCCAAAGTCACAGAACAAATGTATGAGCTTGTGATACCATCATATTTTAATATTGTTGCAGTCAGATTATAAATTTTGTTCTTTGCTGTTCTCTTCTTAAATTATGATATAATAAAATTTCTCTTACATAAATTTTATTACAATTTTAATTTTAAATACCTGCAAAATATTCCAAATTGTTAGTGTCGCATAATTTACTTATTCTCCTACTGCTGGATATTCTAGATTGCTTCGAAATTTGGAGAACAATGACCTCAGGTGACATGACTTTTATTTTTTTCCTCTTCAAATGTCTTCATAGGATAAATTCCCTAAAATGGCATTGTCATCAAAAAATATTTTCATCTTTTTAATTCTCCAAAATATTTTTTTTCTAATCTGTAATGCCACCAACAGTGTATAAAAATTCCACTTTCACTAGAACACTACAATCTTGTCACCTTGGGTATTAGGATTTGTCATTTTCACTAATCTCATAGACACAAAAAAATAGTATCTACAAGTCATTTTAGCTTATAATAATGGACAGTAAAGATGTTTTTTCATCTAACAAAATCTAACTGTATTTCTTTTTACATGAAGTGTTACTTCAAAAATTTTGCCCATTTTTAACCATGATTTTCATTTGTTCATATATTAAACTTTTTCCCATTCTGCTGTTCCCTTTCAAATACATTTTTAAGAGGAAAATATCATATAAGCCAATCAAACATGAGGCTTTCTCCTTAATTTTAAACAGCTCCTATTTAAACAGCTTAAAAGAGGATTTCCTGTTCTTGCCACATTCAAAAACGCCCAAGAGTACATGAGTTACTGTATGATCGTTCACATTTTATAGTGCGTTTTCAATCATCCCAGATTTAGAAAGCATTAGTTATCACTTCAGAAAAGTGAATGCAGGCTTCGATGCCTCGGTACTTACTGCTCCTCCCAAACGATAGCTGCTGAGAACAAGTCACCGCCGATACCCCCATGATGCTCTGCAATGTTGATACCGAGCAATCCTTGTTTTCCGGCTTTTTCCCAAAGCTCCCTACTCACTTCTCCAGCTTTCTCCCATCTGCAAATAACAGTTTCAAGTCAACCAAATTTCTTTCAAAGTATTTAAATGGCTGCACTTTGAATTTATAAATGATTTTGCGCAGGAATGCACCCTCAATTTCAGGTTAACTTTGACAATACCATACCTTTCTATTTGTATTTGAGTCCTCCAGTCTTTTCTCTTTCCTACTTCTATTTGCCACCTTCTGCCTCTTCCTATTTATCGGACCTAGTAACCATACTCACTGCTACTCCTGGGTATGGTTGTACTTGGTCAGTGCTCTTAGGGTATAAAGATTAGTTGTGTCACACAGTTAAGGGTATGTGGTCAACTTGTAAAGAAAATTCTCTGCCTACTTCATAAAATGCTGAACTCACAGAAACAGTTTATCAAACCTGCCAAGAGCAAGCAACCTCACTCCATTAATCAGGAGCAACAAAAGTGCAGGAGCTCCTTAGAGTACGGATTTGTCCAGTGGATTTCTGAAAAAACTGTGTTCCTCTCGATTCGTGCTGGGATAAACCCAGCACCTTGAGCACGCTAGTTAGGCGATGTGACCACAGGAACTAAAGCCCTACCATCTTCCTCCTTTTAACATGAAAACGACAGAGGAGGAAGCAGACGGCAGTTAGAAATACTGAGAGAATCTAAAACTTTTTGTTTTCTAAAGGAGTAGATGCAGTCAGTAAGATGCTTGGCAGCTGGAGATACTGACTGAAGGTGGGTATCAACTCAAGAAATCACAGAAGAAAGGTTTCGATTATCACTGGTGTTTGATGTGTGCAGTTACTGCCTTACATAACTTTGGATTCTAATGGAAATAAAATTTAAAATTTGTTCTAAGTGTAGCACTGTATTGTTACTGAGTGTATTTTGGAAATAGGAAATATTTAACAGAAATGATAGCTTTTGCCAATAAAGTAATCAGTTATTAATCAAGAAACATCCAGTACTGAAAGTACTTAGAGGTGGCAAATCACCTACCAAAATTTGCACTAGGCTGGCCTTTTGAGCTTTTACATATTTTAATTCATTTATAAAACAGAAAAAGGACATGCAATGGATTACTAGTTTATTGCCACTTAACCACAACTTTCAAAAATATTATCCTTAAATTGTACATTTTCAAATTATCTCATTACTGAATCATACATTTTAAAATTCATTTAACACGGCTCAGTGTGGTAGTGCAAACATGCAGCCCCAGCTACTTGGGAGATTGAGGAGGAAGACTGCTTGAGTCCAGGAGTTCAAGACCAGCCTGGGCAACACAACTCCCATTGCAAAAACACAAACGAAAAACAAAAAAAACCAAATCCCTCATTTAAAAAAAGGTAACAAGTGAAGAATGCCACGATCTTACATTATTATGGTGAAAAGCCATAAAAATGTTAGTGAAAATTGAACAGCAGTTTTTCTGTCCAACGTACAGCATTTTACCATTCTTTTCATCCATTAAAGGAAGGTGAGCTACTTACTCTGCATGATAAGGAACCACTTCTTCTTGAAAAAACTTCCTTACACTCTCCCGGAAAATATCGTGCTCTGAAGAAAAGATTCTTCTGATTCCTATATCTGTAAATCTTTTAGCAGAGGAACTTTCTAGACGTGCTTCCCCTCCAGAATGTGAACACCTTTAAAACACATGCAGTAAGAAAATTAAGTGAACTGTACTTGAAATTAACGTGACTGAATAACATGGAACCTTGAACGCTTTTCCAGAGACACTTTAAACATCACCATTTTTGATAGGCTCTGCCTCACTTTGCTGGGATTAAACTTTTTTTTTTTGGTACCGGGGATCGAACTCACAACCGCACGCTTGCAAAGCAGACGCTTATGCCGCTGAGCTAAATCCCCAGCTCTATGGGATTAAACATTTTATCATTATTTACATCTCCATGTTTAATTTCATAAAATGGATAATGCCTGAACTAATCACCAGTCAGGCCTAAGGTGAAACACATTGTTTTTACATGATATATGGTTTAAATTATGTAAAAGTCAAACAGTACAACAGAATAATACTAACCTTCAGGTCACACGCAATGTTTAAAATAATGAAACCCTCTAGATTTAGTATTTATACAGAATCACATAATTTCAAATGGAAGGCGTATAAAATGCAAACTGTGTTAAAGATATGGCTAGATTACAGAGCCAATCTGGGTGGAAATCAAATTGCCCACCAATCTCTATATGAAACTGGATAGAATTATTTAAGATCTTCAAGAACTGACAGTTTCCTGTGCTCCCTAGCCACCCCTTTCCTGCCATACCCCCTTCTACCCACACTAAGGTTACGAGACTGATCTGCAATTCTTTTAGTTCAGTGGTCTTTAGGTTGTTTTAATTTTTAAAATTGGTGCTCCTCTTTGGTCATTTGCAAGACCACATCTTATTCACATTATTACATATTCATATATTACCAAACTATATTTTCTGTTTTACATTAAATTTTGATTTAGGTTTCTCTCTTCCTTAGCTAAACCATGTTTTTTTTAATCTTCTTTTAAGTCTTTGTTTGGAAAAGACCTATTTAATATGATTGTGTTGGTTTCTTTTCTCTGATTGCTGAGACAAAATACCTGATGTCCAAAATTAAGGAAGGAAAATTAGCTTAGGGTTTGTGGACGTTTCAGTCCATATTCAGCTGGCTCCAAAGCAGGGTGGCGTGGCAGAGGTGCAAAAGTTCATGGCAGGGACAGATGCCAAAAGCAACAAAAGCAAAAAAGGTGGAGCATTGAGCGAAGACTCTTTCTGTCCTTTATAGTGCATGTAGGCCACACCCAGCACTCACACCCATAATCCCAGCACTGGACTGTGAATCAATCACAGACTCTAGACCCCTGCCCTCATGATCACATGAGGCTTTGGAAGAACATTCAGATACAAACTGTAACAATAATTAATCACAGCAGACAAATTTTTGTTGTGCTGTTGTTTGCGTTGTTTTGTTCTTTGTGGTAGTGGGGACTTGTAGGGAGCCGAGTGACAGGCATTGCTGCCTCGATGTCTCTCTCTCTCCTATGGGCACTGTGTCTGTCTACATTAACCATAATCCTCTCCTGCTTATGTCACGTATCCGGATGTGATGGTGACCCTGTTGTATTTATCTGTTTAACCTTTTCCTGTCCCAGCTCCCGCCCTTAGCATATAAAAGGTGTGATCATTTTCTAAACAAACCGGAAGCTTGATCAGATTATTTCGTCTTGCTTTCATCTCTCTTTTGTCTCCCCTATGTCTTTTATTTAATCCCTGTTTCCCCTCCAGGAGTTCTAAACTTGTTGATCTGCAGGCCGGATCAAGTGGCGCCCAACGTGGGGCTCCTGGCACAGAAAAGTTAACGAGGGAGTCGTTCGAGAGACAGCCGGCTTAAACTGAAAGTGAAAGCAAATTAAACCAGAGACCTCGGCCGAGGAGTGAGTAAACTAAATCAAGGATTAACGCTTAAAGCAACAGGACATTAAATTAAGTACCGAGACCTGCGCAGACGACTACCCGACGTCCTGCCCGAGTCACGGTGAATAAACGGCAACCCCATTTCCCTTCCCAGACATGGGTCAAGTATTGAGCGAACATGAAGTGTTCGTGGGAGGCCTTATAAAGGCATGAAAGACAAGAGAGATGAGGGTTGGAACAAAAATTATTGCAGTATTTTTCAATTTATTCATAAGGTTTGCCCTTGGTTCCCCCTAGAGGGTTCTATAGATACCAAGAGATGAAATAGAGTAAGAGATGCTTTAAAAGATTATTATAGAGTTTTCGGTCCAGAAAAGGTTCCTGTGACCACCTTTACATATTGAAATTTAATTTCTGAGCTGCTTGCCCAGAGGCATGCAGACCTTCAGGTTGAGGAGACAGTTACACTAGGTGAGGCTACCTTGCGCAACTCTGTTAAATCTACCTCAAAACCGTCCTCAAAAAAATCTAAAGCCTCTGATTTCTCAGATGCAGAGAATGATGGCCTGTTAGAGGTCCTCATACATGGTGATCTGCCACCACTTCCACCTGTTGACATGACCAACAGGTCCTAGGATGGCAGCCCGCCACTCCCTGTGCCTCCATGGCAAATTGGGGATTCATATAAGCCTTTAAAAACAACCTTAACTCTAAAAAGCTTACAGCCGCACAGCAGCTGGTGCAGGACCAGTTAGATACAGGCCACATTGTTCCTAGTAATTCCCCTTAAAACACACCTATCTTTGTTATCCAAAAAAGGTCAGGGAAATGGAGGCTGCTACAAGACCTTAGGGCGATAAATAAGACAATGGTCTTAATGGGACCCCTACAGCCTGGCCTCCCCTCACCCAGTGCCATTCCCTTGGGATTTTTTAAAATTGTCATAGATCTTAAAGATTGCTTTTTCTCTATTCCTTTACATCCAAAGGACCAAAAGCGTTTTGCCTTCAGTCTCCCCCAAAAAAACACTTTTGCCTTATTTCCAAGCTGTCTCAGACCTAATAATTCAGGGTAAAAAGCAAAAAAAATGTTACTTTGGCAAAAAACCAGATATTATCATTCAACCTTTTACAAAAGACTTCAGAGTACAAAAGTATGGCCTATTGCCTTAGCTTCCTTTTCAGGGACTACTGACAATCATTACCCTCCAAATAAGCTAGTTGACTTTACTAATCTTCACTCATTTATATTCCCTAAAGTCACAGCTTCACAACCCCTTCCAGGTGCCCTGGTTTTATTCACTGATGGCTCATCCTCCGAAAGGGCTGCTTATATATCTCAAGACAATGTTTCTACCCTCCAGGCAGATACCTCCTCTACACAATTAGCAGAGTTTAAAAGCTATTCTTACAGCTTTTGCTGCTTACTCTAACCAACCATTTAATTTATATACTAACAGTGCTTACCTTGCTCAGTCTGTTCCATTATTAGAGACTATTGCTACCATATGTCATGCTTCCCCAGCTACAAATCTGTTCAAACAATTACAATGCTTCATACGGCTTCGCCGTCATAAGTTCTTTATCGGTCATCTGCGAGCTCATTCCAACCTCCCAGGGCCTCTTGCCCAAAAAAATCATTTGGCTGATGTTGCTATACGAGCACAGGTTTTTATGGCTCAGAACTCCAAGGTGTCTGAGGCCCAACAAGCCCATCAGCTACACCACCTCAATGCTCACACCCTCCGCCTTCTCTACAAAATTACCTGTGAGCAAGCCAGACAAATTATAAAAAATTGCCCATCTTGTGCTATCCACTTACCTGTTCAACACCTAGGAGTCAATCCTAGAGGTTTAATTCCTAACGCCTTATGACAAATGGATGTTACCCATTTCAATGAGTTTGACAATCTAAAATATATACATGTCATTATTGACACTTATAGTGGCTTCATTTTTGCCACTCTCCAGACTAAAAAAGCTGCTAAACACATTATAGCCCATATGCTGTCAGCCTTCTCAGTTCTGAGATGTCCTCAACAGCTCAAGACCGATAATGGCCCTGGCTATACCAGTACCTCCTTTGCTCAATTTTGCAAGAGCCTTAATATCCTCCACACTACAGGTATACCTTATAATTCTCAGGGACAAGACATTGTTAAATGTGTGCATCGTTCTCTTAAATTCACTATAGATAAAATAAAAAGGGAGACATGGTACCCCACCCAGGGGTCCCCTAAAAATGTCCTTTCACATGCTCTTTTTATTTTAAATTTTCTGACCCTGGATGCTTCAGGCTGCTCCGCAGCATCTCGGTTTTGGCATACTCAGACTCAAACACGGTTTGCATCTGTTTTATAGAGAGACCCACTAACCAATGTATGGAATGGCCCTGATCCAGTCCTTATCTGGGGACGAGGTTCAGTGTGTGTTTACTCTCAACAAGATAGAGAAGCTAGATAGCTACCTAAACGCCTCATAAAGCAAGTAGACAGTTCTTCAAAGACCCCATATAACGCCCAAAAATAATGTTATTTCCTGAGGCACAATCCCCTGTGTTCTCTTACAGGTGACACATCTCCCTAGAGCCTTATGCTGCTTAGTCAGCCTTCTTCTTGAGCCACACCACACCCATGGTAAACTTCAACCCTTGCCAAACAGACTACAATTACTGACAGCCATGCACAAAAACCCCATGACTGCAAAAGAGGCTCTTCTCGGTCTAAAAAAACATACACCAGCCAAATAGACTACATCCAGTGTTATACAAAACATGCTCCAAGACACAGGAAAATGACTTCATACAGAGACACCAACAAATGACTGTCAACCCCTTCTCCTCGATTTGGGGGGGGGGGTTTCCCTTACCTAATGCCCCTTTTGGGTCCCCTAGCTAACCTATTGTTTCTCATTTCTGTGAGTTCTTATATTTTTCAGAGGATTATGATGTTCATTAATAACCAGATAGATGCATTTATGGCAAAGCCCATTCAGGTACACTATCATCAGCTGGAGATGGCAGATCAACAAACCTACCAGAAAAAAATTCCCACGAGTGGCCCATATGATGATGCGGCCTAACTGCCCTGGAGCAATGGACAGGCAGTCAGAGACGGACAACTAGGACATTCATGTTAATTCCAATGGCCACCTAAGACAGGCACAAGACCAACTGCTGTTCTGCAAGCCCATGACGGGTAAGGCCTGGCTGGGTTCATACAATGAGGTCCTTGACCTAAGACAGACGCTGTCCTCACAGGGCCTGCCATACTCTTAATAATATAAAAAGGGAGGAGATGTAGGGAGCCGAGTGACAGGCATTGCTGCCTCGATGTCTCTCTCTCTCCTATGGGCACTGCGTCTGCCTACATTAACCATAATCCTCTCCTGCTTACATCACGTATCTGGATGTGATGGTGACCCTGTTGTATTCATCTGTTTAACCTTTTCCTGTCCCAGCTCCCGCCCTTAGCATATAAAAGGTGTGATCATTTTCTAAATAAACCGAAAGCTTGATCAGATTATTTCGTCTTGCTTTCATCTCTCTTTTGTCTCCTCTATGTCTTTTATTTAATCCCCGTTTCCCCTCCAGGAGTTCTAAACTTGTTGATCTGCAGGCCAGATCAGGGACTGAATCCAGGGATTTTACACTGATCTTCTCAGTGCTTTGAAATTGCCCAGGCTGCGCTAGAATTTGTGATCCTTCTGGCTCAGCCTCTCAGAATGCTGGAACTAACAAGCATGCACCACCGTCTATGCCTAGCCTTTGCAGAGTTTTTAACTAAACATTAAGACGTTTCCTCTCGTGACAAATGCCTGTAATCCCACTGTTTTGGGAAGCTGAGGCAGAACGACTGTAAGTTTCAGTCCAATATGGCAACTGAGTGAGACTCTGTCTCAAAATAAAAAATAAAAACGGTTGGAGATACAGATCATGTGAAATGGTGAGGTTTAATCTTTAGTGGAGGTGGGGAAGAAGGTGGAGGATAAAGAGACAACAGAAAGGTTTCTAAGATCTTCCTGTCAATTACAATGTCAGCTTAATATACTTATTAATCAGTCAGTTTGTTGCCATTTACGTTTCAATCATCTTTTTCACCTGAAATGAATCCTTCTGTTCTTGATTTTTGTATACTTAATATCTCCTTAAAAGTCAATTATGTTAAAGCCCTACAACCCAAAAGGACTGAATTTGGAGAAAAAGCTTTTGAAGCTAAGTGCAGTTAAAGGAGGTCCAAGGGTTGGGTCTTAACCTGGTATGACTGCTAGCCCCCTAAGAGGAGGGGATTTTTTTTCCCTCAAGCAAAGACCACAGAAGGATGAGGAGAAGGTAGGTAAAGACAGACCTCACCAGGAACTCAATCAGTTAGCACCTTGGTCTAGGACTTCAGTCTTTTTGCTTAGGCCACCCAAATATGCAACTTTTAAGTTGAGTTCTGTAATACAACCCAAGATGACTTTTTCTTTTCTTTTTCTGGTGCTATCACCTATGTCAGGTAAGTGCTCTGTCACTAAGCTATGTGCCCAGTCCCTGGCAATCGTCAACTGTGAACATTCCACACTGCACTTTTCATATTAGGCCTGCCTTTTGTCTTCACAGACATTTTTCTGCTTACTACTCCCTGTCAGCAAAATCATAATTTTAAATGGATAATTGTTGTAGTCAGGGGTTGTGCAGAGAACAATGAAAATCAGGACATGGAATTTATATTATTTCATGATGGTCACCCAGAGTTAACACAAGAAACTGCAGGAAATCGATCCACACCACCAAAGAAATAGAATATTTAGCCAAGGGTCTGAATCGCACAGTAATGTCCTGCATGAGTCCAGATGATGACCCAGAGTTCATGACAATGCCCCCCACAAATCCAACTGGAGGTCTAGAGCCCCCAAGAAGGACTCACGCCAGTCTCTTTTATATGGATCCATGCTGGGAGGCCCAAAAGTCAGTGGTGGAAGCTAGGAAGTCCACGCCAGTGAGGTGAAGGAGCTGTGCTGGTAGGCTGAGGGTTCTACACTGGAGCCAAGAAGTCACACTCAAAACAAAGACCAGGGCTGCCCTGAAAAGTACCACAGCCATCCTCAGTGACAGGGAGGCTCGGAGCTCCTCCAACAATAAGAATATTCAAGTACATGCCAGGAAACCAGTGTGATGAGTTTCTCCTGGAGACCAAGCAGCACATGTCTTCCCCTCCTGAGCCAGGAAGCAATGCTCCATGTAAGGACCAGAGCTGCTCCAGGAGAACCAATGGTTCAAACAACAACATGTAGGAGAACCCACAATGTGTCAATGCCTCTCTTCTCCTTCTCCACATCTATTTATGCTAGCAACTTTCCTCAGGTGGAACACCTACCCTCAGCATCATCGTGATTTAATTCAGCTGGCGTTAAGGTGACCACCAGTTTTTCATCTATAGCAATAATCCACTTAGTTAACAGGTACTAAATGCCTATAATGTGCCAAGCAATGATCTAGAGTGGTCTTGGGATACAAGAGTGAACCAAAGATCCTTGTCTTCATGCTTAGGCTTTAACAAGACCAAACAACAATGAAAAACAAAGTAAATGAGCAAATTGTGTAATATGCTAGAGGCAGTAAGAGGCAGGGGAAAAGTAAAACAGGAAGGGATCAGGAGTGGGAGGAAGAGAGGCAGGGACAGAGGTACAGAAACAGTGAAGGGGAATTTAAGCAAAGGTCAGGTCTAAGTAAGCCCTTGAAGGTTACAACCTAGCTCATTGCCAGAATAAAACAATGAACTAGAGCAAAGGCCATAAGTCTGCATGTGTTCTAGAAAAGAGTGTGGAGGTGAAGTGTGTCTGGGGAATGAGTAACGAGTAAAGTTAAGGCCAGAGAGCAGGAGGGCACCAGAACCCACAAAGGACCTTTTTTAACCTTCATGTTGCTGAAGATAAACTAAAACTTAATTTTATCCCTGTAATTGACATGATTGGCTCCACTTTTTTATTAGCAGCAATAAAACTATAAAAACAGATAGGGGTCCACATGAATTTTCCCTATGGCATTTTTTTTTCCCCCCTCTGGGGCAAAATATGCTAAGGTTAGGAAGCTGGAGTTCTAAGATAACGGAATCATTTGTAATATAATGAGTAAATAAAGCCAAAGTCTACATGCAAGTCTGCCTGGATTTTAAGTTTTATAACCCACATTACACTAAGGACACCTTTGGAATACTTCTAAGTAAAATACACGAAGACATGGGAAGGCGAAAGAAATGAAAAAGAATACAGACTGAGGTCAAAGGTGATCAAGACAAAATGTAGCAGGAAGATATAATAATCGACAGCAAGTTTGTTGGAACCAAGAAGCCTGTAGTGAAAAAGCTGCTCCCCCTCTCTACTCAGGCATTAATTACTAACTTATTTACTAATTAACTAATTAATCTATTTAGAGGCTAACTTGTAATTATTTTTGTAAGCCAACTTTAAAAAGGAAACAATCTATCACTACATCCCTCAATTATTCATACACAAGCTCAAGTCGCACTCCAAACCTATGGGATTAAAATCAATATTTTAACAAGCTCCCTAAATGACCAGAAAAATTGAAGACTCCCATTAAAATAAAATTATAACCCCTGACCTATCCAGAGGGTCTCTCAAGTCTTTCCTTTTCCTTTGATACTTTGTAAGGACAAATTTTCTTCTCAGAACTCCACCAAAGTAACTGCTCCATCTTTGGGCTTCTCTAATTTGAAGCGCATAAAGGGGTTCTGTTAGCAAAAAGTTGGAGGATCAGGGTGTTACTGATGTCCTGGATAATTCAGAAAAGTGAGGGTGGCCGAAAAAGCTACCCCAACCCACCCGGGGAGCACGCACTAAATCCTGCAGGGCTCTCAGCACCTAATTGTCCTCCACAACAATGGGCTAATTAGTTCACTGTCCCGTCCCGCGGCCCTAATTGAGTACTGTGGGCATCCAGGCCGTGCCCAACGAGTGAGTGTCGCCTCGATAACAAGTCACCGAGCTACTTAGAGGCTCTCTCTATCAATCCCTCGGCATTTAATAGGATGGATGATTTATTAGCGAAACCTAAAGTCTTTCGGGGGACTGCAGGCCGGGTCCCCGCACAACTTCGGGCGCGAGCAGCCAGAACCTCTCCCAGGCGCGGCCCCGCCGCTGCCCTGCCCTAACTGGCACAAAGGACGCCGCTGCGCGGTGCCGCTCCCCACGCAGTCCGCGCGCCCGGCCCGGGGAGAGCGTGGTCGCCCGCGCGGCCTCGGCGTCCCCACAGCCTGAACAGGGGCCGCGGCGCCCCGGCGCCCCGGCCCGCCGGCCTCCCCGGCGGAGCGCGGAGGCCGCACTCACCTCGCGGCGGGCGGGCGCCAGGCGCAGCGCGCTCCCAGGAGGCGCAGGGACCCACGGACGAGGCGCGCGGCCATGGCGGGTAGAGAGGGGCTGTGGCGGAGCTGAGGAAGCGCTGCGCCCGCTTGCGGAGCATCTGAGCAGCCTTAGCCGCCAGGGGCAAGGCATGGGGCGGGGCATGGGGCGGGGCATGGGGCGGGAAAGGGCGGGGCCGAGGGAGGGACTGTGCTAGCTCGCCGAGCTCCTGAGCGTCTGCGGCTGCTGAGGGCGGGGCTAGGGGCGGGGCCGAGGAAGAGGCTGCGCCAGTTCCTAGTGCCTCTGCATCCGAGGCTACTTAAGGGCGGAGCTGTGGGCGGGCCCTCCGTGACGCAGCCCCGCCTACCTCGTCGAGATGCGCGGCCTCGCCGCGGAACGCGCGCACTGCCCCCCATCATCCCGAGCGAGCGCCTTTTGCGCGCGGCCCCAGGGTGGGGCCGCTGCGGTGGCTGCTTCCTGGCGACCTTCGCCCTGAGGACTCCGGGGACTTGGGTCTCCGAAGTGCGGCCCACGCCTGGCTGTGGACGTCTCCTGGAGGTTTATTTTGTAACAGTGGAGGGTAATTGAGTTAGTTCATTTGGACGCCTCCATAGTCACTGTTTGCAAAGAATGGTGCCTTTATATTTTCTTGCAAACGTTGGTGATTACTTAAAAGAAAAATCTAAATGTGTTTGACAGACAGAAAACCTCAAGTTTAGCTCAGTTCTCCAGTGGTGCTACACATGAATTCATATCTTGCTATTTCCTTTCTACACGAATCATCATAGTGTTTAATGATACGCGTTTCGTTTAAATGAAGCTGGAGGTACTGAGGTTTATGAGTTTGTTGCTTTTTCTTTTGGCAATGGAAAATATCTTAAGTTTCCTGAACTCTAAAAATGTGCAGAGTGGATTTCTAAGTAGGTAAAAAGCCCTTCTGCTAGTTAAGGACAGTTACCATGCACTCGAACAGGTGAAAATGAAAGGTAAGTTGTGTCCGAAATAATTACTGTCAGTGTGGGAAAGAAGTTTTGAAAGGAAAGTGCCCATTCTGAGCGGAGGATTGTGAGTAGCAGTAGTTGATCCGGAGCGCAGAATTCCATCGCTCTTGCTAGAATTTTAGATTTGGTGGCCTGTATCTGTGCCAGGCTCTTTTCTAGCTTCATAGCAGCAAAGCCTTGGTCTCTCAAGGTGACAATTCACTGATCTAGTAACTTACTCATAGGGCGCATTAAAGGGTCCATAAAGGAAAACCCAAAACTTTTTCTCCTAAGTCCTACTGAACACCCTATGTCACTTTGAGGTCCAGAAGTGCATTGAATGTGTTTCCCCATCTACCAAGCGCTTTTCCAGCAGACACCGTGCTTTCCACATGGAGTCAATCTCAGGCTAAGGACTCAGTCCCACAAGCGTGTCTCCAAGCCCCAGGTTGTACCCTGTGTCTCTGACCAGTCAGCTCTAAATCAGAGTACCCAGGACTCCTCTCCTGTTCCATGATTTCCTGGAACGGCCCATGGATCCAGGGAAACATTTACGTGTGCCAGTTTATTATAAATGACATCACGGAGGAACAGTCATACAAAGAGACCTGTAAGACATTAGCATAGATCTTCTATACCCACTCTGGCCCACCACCCTCTTGGCATGTCCACGGATTCTGTAACCTGGAGGCTCATCAGATCTCCTTGTTTTTCTAGAGCTTATGGGCTGCACGTTTCAACTCTTTAATCCTCTAATGGCTTATGTTTTGTGGAGACAGCTTTATTCTGGGTTGTCTGGGAACCCTGTAGCTTGTGACTTAAACCAAATATGGCAGGAGCTCCTTGTGATTCACAAAATATACATCCTACCGGGAAAGTCTAAGCATTTTAGGGTCTCTGTAGCAGAACCAGGAGCAAAGACCAAATCACATTTCATACTATCGTGTAGGAATCTTCTGCTCTACAGCTTTGTGGAGCCTCTGCTAAATGAGGATAATACAGACTTCTTAGGCCTACTGCGGTGGGCTGAGAATCGATGTCAGCAGCACCACCTGCTGATCAGAGTGGCAGATGCTGGGGTACAGGATTCTGTGTAGTTAACAAGTTTCACAGGCGAACCTTATAAAAGGTAGGACCCACGAATTCCTCCTGAGTTGCTTTAAGTAATGAGACGTTTCACAGAACGCACATTCCACAGTGTTAACTCATAAAGTTAGGTGTCTTTGTTCTCCGATTGCAAACTTGCCAAGACTCAGTCGTTTGTGGGAATGATCACTTTTAATGCGATCTTTTAAAATCAAGTAGACAAACATCAGCATTTTTATTCCCTTTTAGGTAATTGGCCCCCATGGTGATATTGCAAAGGAAAAGGTTCTCGGGGAGAACCGTGGATATGATTTGGGACCTTTAGGACGTCAAAACAGGTTGGTTGTTGTGTTTTTAGACTGAGTAGGGCCGGACAGAGCTGCTCACATAGATGACACAGGCAGGATTTCTTTCAAGACTGTAGGAATTACAGTGTCCTTAGGAAATAGGACAATGTAAGAAATTCCAAGTCCTCTGAGTTCAGAGGAAGTAAATAATGATTTTTGTAGATTTTCATTTCATATGCACTTATGTAAAAGGATGTAAAACATGTGTTTAGTGATTCTTCTTGCTACTTTTTATTCATCATTCATATATAAACCTTTTCCATTCTGAAAACACTTTGTGAATGGGGTACTTGCCATACCTTTTTTGAGTTAAAAACTTTGAATGAATGTTCCTTTTGATATGTAATCTTGTTATTTTGCACCTTTATCTCTTCTTAAAAATGTTTTTGCACGGGGTGGCCAGTTAGTTATGCTGCTGAGCTAAATCCCTGGCCTCCTCTCTTATTACCTTTTACACAGATTTTCAGGTGGCATTTTGCCCCACTGGCCATATTTTTTATGAAATATTTGAGAATGAGTTGGATATACCTTGCCGCTTTCCTTCGTGTATTTATTTCCTAAGAACAAAGGAGTTGTCTTAATATCCACAGTAGAAATATCAAACATAGAAATCTAACAATGATGAAATATTCTTAAATAATTTACATAACACATTCCAATTTCAACAATGTTCCAACAATATCTTTCCATTACAATGAAATCAAGTGCAGAACTTCATCCAGGATCTTTTATTTTATTTTATTTTTCTGGTGCTGAGGATCATAGCCATGGCCTTGCACATACTTGGTCAGCACTGTTACAGTGAACTACATAACCCTACTCTTCACAATGCTGTGTGTCAAGTCTCCCTGATATTCTTTTACTTGGAACGGTTCCTTTTGGCTGTTCTTGTTCATTTTTTTTCTTTTTCCCCTTTACCATGACAGTCTGAAGAGTAAAAACCAGCTATTCTGTAAAAACAACTTTCCTAGTGGCAGAATTGGAGCATGACTATTTTGGTGGTCCTTTAGTTGTACCACATCACAGTGTCATTCCTGCCCGTCATTCTTGCCAAAGTTAATTTGAGCCACATTTAGTTAAGACAGTGTCTGTCAGGTTTCTGCACAGTAAAGTCAGTGTCTTCTTTTGAAGTCAGTATAAAAAAAATTCTGAATATCAAATTAACTGTTAAAATGATATGAAAAGCTTAACACACTATGGTAATAATTCAGGCAAAACCCCCAAGATTTTTTGAAGTGCCCCTGACTGCTATAGTAATCGGTCAGTGGATATACCTGAACTATGACTTTTAAGAATTAACAAGGTAGGAAAGACTAAAGCCTGCAAGTGGGTTAGCAAAATCAGGAATGCTTTGGGAAGGTGGGAGCCCAGTTAACAGGAACCAGTCTGACAGGTGAAGGGTGTGCGTTCAGAACTGGGAAGGCTAGTTTGGTCCATTACAGTTCCTGGGCGGGAGCGTAGGGGTGAGTATAATGCAGAGATTTAGGGTTGAGATCACTGGGGTTTAGATTGTGATTTTGCTCTTTATCAGTTATCAGTCGTCATTAGTTTACTGATGCTTGTAAAGGGTAGAGTACTCAGATTGGGTACAATTATCAGTAGCTTTGTATTGTTAATCAGTATTTTCATGCGTGAGTTCGATCCCTGGTACCTATAAAAACGAAAAAGACAAAAAAAAAAAAAATCAGTATTTTCATGATTCCTGAATATTAAGTCCAAGGACTTTAGATTTGACATAGTAAGAAGTAAAGAACCCCCATGGCTGAGGAAAGCAAAATGCCTTCACTCATTTGTTCTCCTAGTCAGTAAAACTTACTGAGTTCCTCCTATGGTTGGAGGGTACAGCTTCTTACAAGATAAAAGTTTCTCATTTAAAGGAGCTAATACAGTTTTGAAACTAAAAGACAGAGTGTGGTTCGTGGAGAAGTAAGGCTGTCGGGTTTCTTTTTCCCCACTGAAGCTTTAAGGCAGAGTGGAAAAAAAAAATGAGCTACAGCATTCAGCTGCTGTGGTTGAAAACCCTCTCTTGGAGTTCCTTAATCTCTCCACGTCTCTGCTTCTTTATTTGTAATGTGGAGATATTAATAGTATCTATCTAAAGAATCCTGGAGGCTAAAACAAGACAAAGTATGTCAAGCATGCAATGTGGTGGGTCCAGGAGCCTGGAGCAGAGTAACACCCTGACTGTGTTCTTTACCCTAACTAGGCAGAGCCCAGGCTCTGCCCAGGTTGCCAGGAAATCAAACCCCAGCGATGCTTCCCTCTGAGTGACTTCTCCATCATGCATTTGAAAAGTATCTGCAGAAGCTGCCTCTTCTGGATTGCAGTGACTTCTGGCCAAAATCTTTATTGAATGCTTTGGACTCCACAGTGAGCAAGGTTCACCAGGGTCAGCTTTAAATCTCTGCGCTTCATTTCTTCCCATTATAGGAACAACAAGAGAGAAAATGTCAACGGCTTCCTTACCAATGTCAGTTAAGAAATGGCTGCCCTTGGGAGCCTTTGACCCAGAGTTCATAAGCATCGCTAGGGAGTTTTAAAGCTAATACAAAAATAGGTTAAAGTGAAAAAGAATTTCATGTGTCCAGGTTCTGAAACTGAGTTTTAATTCTGGGTACATATTCTGGTCTCATACAAGCTACTGTTGACACTATTAGCTTTCAAACTTTTTCACCTGTAAGGGATCAGAACATACATTCTTCAAAGGACAATATACAACTCTAGGCCACAAAGCGGCAGCAGATTTGTCTAAATACTTGAAAGCTTTAAATGTCACTTAGAGAAATGAATAAGACAGTGTCACAGAATCACATAGCAGACAGCAGGAAAATTCAGGAACATGGAGCCAATGAAGAGGTCAAAACTAAGAGATCATACCGTAATTAAAATAAAAACAAAAAGGACAGGGCTCAGGTAGCATCTGCCACATTTCTGGCAACTCTTTTGGTTTACTTGAATTTCCCGAAGGCTGTTTCTGATATGCATTGTTTGGAACAGGCCACCTGCTAGGGGGCATGGACGTGATAGGTAAGGCATAAGTGATCTAAACTTCTGCTTACTCACTTGGAAATGGAGAAAGACAGTACTTGTATCATAGGACATGTGGGAGGATTGTTCAGTTAGTGGAGGTCAAGTGGTTAGAATAATGAAAAGATTAAGCAATCAGTAAGTGATAATATTGTTACCAGTGAGAAGTAACCATATTTTGGAGTATAAGAACTGCAAAAGAAATTCTAAGGGAAATAACCTACTTAAAAAGCAACTCTATGTTTACAAAAAGAAAAAGAATTATCCCTATAATACTGATTTGATATTATACAAAGATGCATCATCTTATACATTTAAAGTCTATTTTGTGTATATTCCAAAGGCCTCTTCCAGGAAAGGAATGGCTTATGCGCTTACTCTGATACTTCTCATGGTCTTTCCCAAGTCTGATACAAAAGCCAGCTTCTTTAATCCTTGTTACCAGTAACTGTCTATGTAGCACTGTAGAAATAGAGAGATTAGGGGCTCTGACTTTATCATTACTTTCTATTTCATTTAAATAGTACCTTAATAATATTAGAAACCTGAAACTCACATTTATTTTCCTAAATTTGTCTTAGATATTTAATTTTTCCTTACTGAGGACAATATTTTCTTTTTTTATATAGTTTTTTTTTTTTTTTTTATCGATACCAGAGATCGAACTCACGACCGCCTGCTTGCAAGGCAGGTACTTATGCTGCTGAGCTAAATCCCCAGCCCCGAGGACAATATTTTCAAAATGAGTTGCTGTTTTATATTTTGGGATATTTTCTTTAAAAAAGAAATAAGCAAGCCAGGTGTGGTGGTGCACACCTATAATGCCTGTTTGGAAGGCCGAGGCAGGAGAACAGTCTGGACCACACAGAAAATTCAAGACCAGCTTGGAGTGTGTAGTAGGATGCTGTCTCAAAAACAAATGAACAAGAAATAAATAATTTAAGTATCTTTACCCAACATAATTTTTACAGGACATTTACGTATCAGGATTAAGAATGAATTTGTTTAAACTTCAACCTTCAAATCCTGTTCTGTTTCTAAATTGTTTCTCTCTTGCCACATCAATAATATGACCAAAATAGTAGCCACATACAACTTTAGGCAAAAGCAAAAAGTAGTATGAAATTTAGATTTTAAGACTACTCTGTCCCTTACATCCATATTATCCAGCTCCCTAGAAAAAATGATGCCTGTCCACTGGTGCAAAGCGAAATAATCTAATCATGTAGAAAAGTTTGATCTAAGTTTTACTGCATTACAGTTTTCTACTAAAAGAAATATAAGCATCTGCAATTCTGTTACATGGATCCTGAACAATGTCAAGATTGCTAGGCCATTTTTCTTGCATAATACAGAATTATTTGTTTGTATAACTGGTTTGTATTCAGGGTAAGATAACCCTTCACAGTACAGTACAGTTTCTCTAAGAATTCATGATCTTTGCCAGAGTAACTGTGTCTGGTTTTAATAGATAATATTTAACTTTATTTGAATAGATAAGTTTACTATAATTCTCACAAAAACTTGAATGTATTTGCTGATACCCTATCTGAAACTAAAAGGACCATTCCTTAAGCAGTAAATATTTTAATCAAAGAGAAAAATTCTTGGTCAAATTAATCTATAATTAAAAGTTATTATTCTTGAGTGCCAGCCTATGAATTGAAGCTATGTGCACCATGAATTACATTTTTGACTTGAGGTTTATTTATTTATTTATTTTTAAAATAAGCCATCCTGTGGCTATCTTCATCTACCATGAACTCCTTCAGTTCCCATGTCCCCTCTGATATTAAAACCATGCCCATCTATTCATTAACCAAGAGGAAGAGCTATCTATTCTCCTGTTCAAACACTTGCCAACCATTTTCTTTAAGCATTTATTCATTTGCGGACTCCTTCCTTGTATCAGGTACACATGAGCATGTGCCAGATGTTATGACCTGTGTCTAGATGTCCTCCAGGGCCTAAGGTGGTCATAGGCAGAGCTTTTCAGAGCTAGCTGGATCTAGAGTGTGACACTGGGATTGATTCACGGTGCAGCACTTGGATTAAGGGGACTAGGGTTAAGGTTGTGAGTGCTACTGTCCTAAGCAGGATAGTCTGGATAAGGTATGAGGCATAGAGGCTTGATGCTTGGTGCTTGTAGCTTCTGTCTTCTACCTTCTGCCTGCCATAAACTATTCTTCTTTGTAATGCCCCCTCTGCATGCTGCCCTGCCTTGGAGCCAGCAAACTACAGACTGAAATCTCTGTAAACTGTGAGCCAAAGAAATCTTTCCTCTTTTAACATTGGGTGTTGAGTGTTTTGTCTCAGCAATGAGAAAAGTAACTGAGATACCAGATACCCATGAATGTACCAACAATTCTGGTTGGAAATATAATTTTACTGGTGAAAAACTAGTGATTTATGAAACTAGAAGTTCCCTAACCTATGACCATAGACTATTTCTCCCATGGTTTGTATTAGAAATTTTATAGATTTATTTTTATTGGTCTTTTTGAATTTTATGAAATTCTTTTTCTTGGATCTGAAACTTATTTTGATATAATGATTTTTTAAAATCAAAAACTGACCATTTTCTTCTAGGCCCACTTATCGAATAATTGTTTCAGTCAGTTTGGGATTCTATAACAAATACTTAAGAGTAGGAGGCTTATAAACAACAGACACTAATCTCTTATTTCTTGGAGCTGAGATGTCCAAGATGAAAGCACTAGCAGATTCAGGGTTTGGTGACAGCCCTTTATTAGGGAAATCTTGCCAGAGATAAGCTCAGTGCCTTGCAAGTGCGAGATTGTGAGTTTGAATCCCAGTACCAAAAAAAAGGAAATCTTCATTCTGTAACCTCACATGGCTGAAGGAGGAAGGAATCCTTCTAATCCCTGATAAGGGTGCTGATCCCATTCATGAAAACTCCTCTCTCATAATCACTTGCCTTTTTAAAAAATTTTGTTTCATTAGTAGGTGATTGTAGTACATGAAATTTACCTTCATTTTTAGAAGTAAATACATGTACTTAACACACAGTGATTCTTTAAAAACCCCCTTCCCAATCTATCCATCACTCTTGGTCTCTAAATTCCCTTTCCTCATTTTTTTATTATTATTGTTATTATTTTCAGTTCACATTTATGACATTCAGTATTTACATTCATTGTGGGTATTTGGTACATGTACATGATGCATCTTAAATCTTTTTATCTTCCTTTACCTTTCCTCCCCACTTTGCCCACTGTCTCTTTTTTAAAAATTTTGTTTGTTTTTTTGAGACAGGGTCTCATTATGCAGTTTAGACTAGCCTTGGACTCGTTTTGTAACGCAGGCTGGCCTTGAACTCAAAGTGATCCTCCTGACTCAGCTTTGTGAGTGCTGAGATTACAGATGCATGCCACTATGCCTGGTATCATTTTTATTTTAAGTTAGTACATGATGAGAGATATGTGTCTAGGTTTATTCTTTGGCATGTACTGGCTGTCCCAGCACAGTTTATGAAGGAGGCTGGCTTTCCTACAGCAAGAGTAATTGGCCTCTTTGTCAAAAGTGTGTCTCTACTTCCAGGAAGATGGTGGTAAACAGCAGGGAAAACAACTTCTCTGAGAGTCACTGTCCAGACACTGGAATATAGCAACGTGAGGAAGACAAGAAGGAAGGAAGTGGTCCCCAGACCAAGAAAGAATCTGAAGTGAGAACTGAAGTCCATGGAGAGACTGAAAAGAAAACCTCAACAAAGGAGAAGGTGGTAGCTGGCGGTACCTTCTCCCTGAGACAGGACTCACTGTGAAAGAGGAGCTGTTCGAACCTAGGGATGCATGGTCACGATGACGGTGACAGCTGGCAACCCTGGAGGCATCTGCAGAGAGATACTGCAGTAGAGGGGAGCAGCGAATATGGAGCACCACTGCACTGGCTGGCAGTGGGTGCAGAGGACTCAGTTCTCCTGCAGGAGAGACTGATTACCAGGGAGCCATCATGGAGCTGGGTTGGCTGAGCTCAGAACTCTGAACTGCTGCCGGCTTGCTGGGTAGGTGTTCTGCTGCTGAGCTAAATCCCTGGGCCTCATCTAGTATCTCCCAGCTGGGCTCATACTTGAGGAAACTGTTTGGACTGCAGCAAGCCCAGTGAGTTTGGTTTCCAAGCAAGACTGCTGAGAGTACCCACCACTCTGCCATCAAGCAACTGCTGGCTTGCTGGGATGCAACGGCATGATTCAGGACTTGTCTCCACAGGCCATCTACTAGTGAAACCAGAGAGAATACTGGAAGTGGACTGTTTGGAGGATTTTGTTGTTTGTTTATTTTTTTAAAAATATTTTTCTGTTTCTTTTTCTCTCTCCTTAGTTGTTTTTATATGAGTGTGAAAGTGATTCCTAACCTCTTTGAGCGTATGGCTCTGTTCTATTCTTTCTTTTATCTTCTCCATCTCTCTTTTCCTTCAGTCTTCTGCACCAGTTTCCCCAAGTTGGCATGATTTTGCCAACATTCTAATCTCCTCCTCTTCTACTTCTCTATTTTCTCCTTAATCCATTTTAAAGTTTAACCCCTAAGCGCAAAATTGACACATTAAGCACTTATTTATTGCATATAATTATCTAGTCTCTTTTACATTTTGCTATGTAATCACAAATCTAGTTCATATGATTAAAAGTTGCAAATTAAGGGTTACCTCAGTTTGTTGTTTTATAGACTGTTTGATGCTATTGGTACCACTATAGCCAAAATTGATATAATTGTTCTAAAAAACTGTTGGTCCTGATATTCCACAACTGACATTGACTAAAAGTCACAAAAAATACTGTGGCAAAGAACTAGGAACGAGGCCAAATAAGCCACAACTTCTCATCTCCAACAAACTGAAGAAGTAAGATCTTCCAACAGACTTAAAACCCCAGACCAGTTATACTTGGAAGATACCTCAGCAAAGTAGTCATCATTTAAGGGTCCTAAAATTACCAGTGCAGTAAGCAACCCACCACAGGCATCTTACAAGCATCACCCCAGAAATTAAACTAAAAAAAGAGAAAATAAAATGAGAAGACACTTAAGCAAAATACAACCCCAGATATCCAGTTCATCAAAGGCAAATCCAGGGGGCAATGAGTTGGAACAATCCAAAGCCCCCCACCTGGTCTCTCTGAAGTGGTAACAGCAAAGCAATTGCATGAGCCTCTGGAAAAACTGAAACCAGAAGTGATCTCTCAGATAATTACAGAGATTCCCAAAATACTCACCATGCTTAGCAACATTAGAGCAGACACAGACAAGAAAATAGAAGAACTGAAAATCGTTATGGATGTTCAGCATAGGAAAGAAATGGAATCCATAAAGCAAATATCCAGGAAAATAAGCACTCCAATGAAAGTATTCAAAGCAGATTAGGCCAGTGCAAGCATAGGATATCAGATATTGAAGACAGGTTTGCAGTCAGCAACTAGGAAAAGAAGGATTTCTCAAAGCCCTCAAAAAACCATGAGAAATCAATCCAGCAGCTGCTAGATGAGGCAAAGAAGAATAACTTAAGATTAATTGGAGTCAATGAATAAGCAGGAGATACCAAAATGACATTAAAAAATGTTCATAGACATCATGACAGAAAACTTTCCTGGTAGAAAAAAAGAATTTGACATTCAAATAAACAACTCTATATAGAACTCTGATTAGAAGTGATAAAAAACAAAACCAAACAAATTACAGTCAGGCATATCATAGTCAAGATTCCAGTAACTCGACACAAGATAGAATCCTAAAAGCTGCTAGAGAAAAGAAAAATATCACTTATAAAGGAAAGCCCATCCGAATTACAGCGAACTTCTCAGCACAAACTCTCAAGTCAAGGAGAGCTTAGGGTAAAATACTCAAGTTCTAAAGGAAAACAACTTTCAACCTAGATTGATGTACCATGCATAACTATCTTTCAAAGTTGATGGAAAAATAAAATAATTGCATGACTAAGAACATCTGAGGAAATTTATGATCACTGAACCAGCCCTCCAAAATGTTCTGAAGGACATTCTGGAAGTAGATAATAAGGACTACAGTTCCATGATCCCCAACAGAAGAAATCCTCCAGAGAAAGCAAACAATTGGATGGGGAGGGGAAGGAGCCAACAACAGGAAAATAGCATGATAAGGATAAGTCAATAGTATCAGTTATAACCATCACTCTTAATGGTCTCATTTCACCAGTCAAAAGACCCAGACTGGCAAATGGATCAAGAAGCAAAATTCAAAAATATGCTACATACACGAAACATTTAATTCAAAAAGAAATTCATAGACAGAAAGTCAAAGGATAGAAAACAATACTTCATTTGACAAAAACTCAGAAAAAAGCTGGGGTAATTATTCTATTTGCAGACAAAGTGAATTTCAAGCAAAAACTGATTAAGAGAGATAAAGAAGGTTACTACATCCTCATGAAGGGAATAATTTAAGAGGAAGAGATAACAATCACAAATATATATGCAACAAATACCATTGCACCCAACTATATAAAACAATTCCTAATGGACATAAAAAAATCAAATAAGCCCTAATATACTTGTATTGGGAGGCCTCAATATCCCACTGTCACAAAAAGACAGATCAACTGGACAAAAAAATCAATAATAAAATATTAGAACTAAATCAAACTCTCAAACAAATGGACTTAGTCAATGTCTATAGATTGTTCCACCCCACAACATCAGAATACATTCTTCTCAGCTGCACATGGATAGTCTCCAAAATAGACCACATACTGGCTCATAGGACATGCTTAAGTAAATGCAGAGGAGCTGAAATTATCCTATGCATATTATCAGACCACAGTGTAATGAAATTGGAAATCCAAAGAAACCACAAGAACTTCATTAACACATGGAAACTAAATAGCACCCTAGTGAACAACCAATGGGTCACAGGTGAAATTAAAGAAGAAATTAGTTTTTTCAATTGGATGATAATGACAATATGACATGCCAGAACTTTGTGAAACACAGTGAAAGCAGTCTTAAGGGGGAAATTTATAGCAGTAAACACCCATATCAGAAAAATGAGAGAAAATGCACATAAACAACTTACTATTGAACCTCAAACTTTTAGAAAAGGAATAACAGAGTAAACCAAAACCTCATTCAGAGCAGAAATTAACACATTGGAGACTAAAAAATCAATACAAAGAATAAATGAATCAAAGAATTGAAACTTTGAAAGATTAAATAAAAATGATAAACCCTTAGCCAACACTATTAATAAAAAAGGAAAAAGAAAATACTCAAATCCATGCATTTAAGAATGAACAAGTTTGTGCAATCACAACAGACCCTGCAGAAATCCAGAAGATCATCTATACCTACTTGAAAAACTTGTATTCTAATAAGATGGAAAATACAGAAGAAATGGACAGATTTCTAGATACATATGAACTGCCAAAGCTGAATCAAGAAGATATAAAATCCTAAATAAACCAGTATCAATCAATGAAATTGAAGATGTAGTTAATCTACCAGCAAAGGAAAGCCAGGCCCTGATGGATTCACTGCTGCATTTTATAAGAGATTTACAGAGGACCTAATACCACTATTTCTCAAACTCTTTAATGAAATTGAAAGGGAAGCAATACTTACAAATTCATTCCTGGAAGCAAGCATTACTCTGATACCAAAATCAGAAAAGGACCCAAATAAGAAAGAAAATTACAGGCCAATCTCCTTAATGAACATAGATGCAAAAATCGTCAGTAAGATACTGGCAAACACTGCAACAAATCATCAAGAAGATTATACACCATAATCAAGTGGAATTCATCCCAGGGAATGGTTCAACATATGTAAATCAATAAATGTAATCTACCACATCAACAGACTCAAGGACAAAAATCATATGATCATCTCAATAGATGCAGAAAAAAGATTGTAACACTGTCCAGCACCCATTTATGATTAAAAACGCTACAGAAAATTGGAATAGTATTTATTTCAATCTGATAAAAGTCATCTATGAAGCGAGGTATGGTGGTGCACTCCTTTAATCCCAGCACTCAGGAGGCTGAGGCAGGAGGATCATTGTGAGTTTGAGGCCAACCTGGACTACAAAATGAGTTCAAGGCTAGCCTGAACTTCATAATGAGATCCTGTCTCAAAACAAACAAACAAACAAACAAACAAGCCACATATGACAAACCAACAGCCAATATCATATTAAATGGACAAAAACTGAAAGCTTTCTCTCTAACATCAGGAACAAGATAAGGATGTCCGCTGTCTCCATTTTTATTCAGCATAGTCCAATTTTAGCTGAAGCAATTAGGTAAGAAAAAAGAAATAAAAGGAATAAAGATAGTAAAGGAAGAAGTTAAACTATCATTATTTGGAGATGACATGATGCTCTACCTAGATGACCCCCAAACACCAAAAGATTTCTAGATTAATAAGCAAATTTAGTAACATAGCTGGATACAAAGTCACTAAAAAGTCAATGGCCTTCCTGTACATGAATAACAAACCCACTGAGATGGAAATCAGGGAAATAACATCTTTTAAAATAGCATCCAAAAAAATGACATACCTAGAAATTAGTCCAACGAAGGTTGCAAACGACCTCTACATTGAAAACTATAGTACTTTGAAAAAGGAGATTGAAGAACGTATTAGAAAATGGAGAGCTATTCCGTACTCTTGAGTAGGAAGAAGCAGTGTAGTGAAAATGGCCGAAACTGTAATACAGATTCAAAGCAATCCCAGTGAAAACCAATAGAATTAGAGAAAACAACCTTAAAATTCATCTGGAACAAGAAGAGACCTAGAATGGCAAAGGCAATCCTGAGCAACAAAGACAAGATAAGGGGCATCACAATCCCTGACTTGAGATTATACTAGAAAGCTACTGAGATAAAAACAATGTGGTATGGTAAGAAAAAAAATATGAAACAAAACAAAACAAAAACAACAGCAACAGAAAAACACCAGGCCTGAAGATCAGTGGAACAGGTAAAAGGTACAGAAACAACTCTAGACACACTTAGCCATCTTATCTTTGACAAAGGTGCCAAACACATTCACTAGAGGAAAGATAGCCTCTTAATGAATAGTGCTGGAAAACTGGCTCCACACAGGCTAAAGATTAAAACTTCACTCACATCTTTCACCGTGCGCTATGATAAAATCAGAACGGATCACCTGCCTTGTCCATGTTGCTTTTGCAATTCTGAGTCTCTTTTGGTTTGATATGAATTTTAGGATTGCTTTCTCTAGTTCTATTGGTATTTTCTTTAGGATTGCATTAAATCTGAATAACAAGTAAAACTTGTTTCTGAGCCAGCAGAGAAGGACAGGTGTACATCCAATGTTGGTAATGTAATAGAGATAAGCCTCATATCTACAAATTATCTATTTGCACTTCATGGTTGAAAAAGGCAATGGAAGGAAGAGCAGGGAAGGAAAGACAGAAGGAAAGCTGAAGTGAAGGGGAAGCTGGGGGAGAGAGAGACAGAGAGACAGAGAGAGAGAGGAAGGAGGAGGAGGAAGAGCAGAGAATGATACTGAGTATTTTCATATCTCTAACTTTTTAATTTAAAAGAGAAAAAAATGCAAAGAAAAACAAAAAGCAAAAGAGACCAAAATCCAAAACAATAACAATATAGGCTTTCAAAATGAGATGATAGGAATTGAACAATGGTTATTATATTGCATATTGTTATCTTCAAAAGAGTTGTTTAGGTTACCAGATATAGACATGCAAAACTGATCTGATCATATAAGAATTACCTGTTTTCCAAGAACTAGTAGAATTAATAGTATAGTCATCTTAGCTCTCTTGAGTATATATATATATATATATATACACAGATTTATGTCTTTTTCCTCTTTTCTCCTTTCCTCCTTTCCCCATCCCAGTTACTTTTCCTCTTTGAGAAATTTCTTACCCTTACATAATATTTATTGAAGATTTTGGAACTTATTTCCTCTTTCAGTTTCTTATACTATGGAGCCAATGCATTATTTACACAGGTGAGTTTGATTTATTTCACTTATGAGTATGGTTTCAAGTCACATCCATTTACCGATAAAAGCCTTGTGATCCTTCTTTATAGTTGAGCAGTACTTCACTGAATAAAAATACCACATCTGTTTTACCCATTCCTCAGTTGGTGAACATTTGGGCTGTTTCCAAGATCTGGCTATTATGAGTTGTGCTGCTATAAACATGGGTGCACATATGTCACTGTGATATGATGTTTTCAGTTCTTCTGGGAATATGCACCCAGTGGGTGCAGATCCCTGATCTTAAATTTTTCCACTGGAAAGTGAGAATATCACGAAGTATTGTGGTAAAGATAAGCATTGTAAAACCCTTTGTTTCTAGTAAACTCTGTTATTCTTAAGATATCTTCTTCTTGATGTTTGCACATTTCGAGTAGATAAAGCTTTCTACTCCTCAACTGGAATTTTCAGATCTTATGTGTGGTCTGAGTTGAGAACTGGGATTTGTCAACACTGATTGGGTAAGGAAGACTTCACTGCTTGTGAAAAACTGAGCCTATCTTTGTCTGAAGTTCCAAGCCCCTCCCCTGGCCTTTCCCATTCCAGAGTCTTTTGGGGTTCTCACAGAACATCTGTTGGAAGCTCCTGCTGTGATACATGTGGTGAGATTATCAGAAAAGCAGCCCAAAGCTGGCAGGTGCGAAAAGAGATTGTGTAGTGCCAGCTTCCCTGGACCCTGAACCCTCCTGATTGCCTGCAGCCACTACAGAGGAATTATTTAAATCTGTGCTTTAGACTGAGGGTGACTTCTTACCTAACTGCAACCTCGCGCTGGACCAAAAACAGCAGGCAAGAAGTCCGTCAGTACCGGGTTAGGACTTCAGTTCCTCAGAGGGAGATGCCGTTGAATAGTCTTTCATGCAAAATGCTTGGGACTGGCATATTTCTGATTTCAGATTTTGGAACATTTGCATAAATAGAATGAGATATCTTGGGGACAGGACCCAAGTCTGAACACAAAATTCATTTATGCTTCATTTTGTGTTATACACGCAGCATGAAGGCAATTTTACACAGTATTTTTAGTGTACCTGCCCGTTGACTGGGCCTTGTCATGTGACACCAAGTGTGGCATTTCCTGTTTGTAGTGTCATGTTAGCTTGCACAAAATTTTAGATTTTGGAGAATTTTAGATTTCTGGAATAGAGATGCTCAATTTGTAGTTTTTCTTTTAATATCTAGAAGGATATAGGCATTAAGTAATGTTTGTATCGTGAATTTTTATCAACTATCTGTGGATGAAATATGGGTTATCTATGCTGTAATATGTCGCCTTTGCAGGTAAATAAAGAACTAGCACCTTACTATACTATAGTATAGTAAGGTAGTAACTAACTACCTTACTATATGGATGGACCTATGTATTACTATCATGGTCCCACAGACATTGCATTTCTTGAACGCTTTGAGATAACTACGGTGCCAGTGGGATATTATTCCATTTTTGTTACAGAAAATCAGATTATTTTTCCAAAAACTCTTTTAAAATCTTTTTTTTTTCTGGAGTAAAAATAAAGTCTGTGACAAAGAATTGATATATAGATCCAAGACAAAATTCAAATACAACTTATAAAACTTCTGAATTCAAAGTCAATTTTTGATACTTGCAAGCCAGCTAGAGAAACATGTTCAATCCGTTTCTCTTCCACTTCCATGTTCTCTAGTTTCTCTACTAATCCACAGGGTAGATTGAATCCAAGGTTACCCTTTCCCTTGTGCTTTGTCTGCAGCTTCTCTGTATCTGTTGAAGGCATTGCTGTTCTCTAGACCATTTAGGGTTAACTCCTGGGCCAACTGTCCGTTGATTCTGTATGTAGCCTCCCTGCAGACACTTACGTCTCTAGACCTTTTGCATTTTGTGGCACTGATATCTTTGGTTGTGGCCTTCAGACTTGTCAGGAAAAAGGAAATTATAGTAGACAGGCTTGGAAGTGGCCTGCATCCTTTTGACCATGTTCTGTGGGCTCTAACCTGTCACACAGGGGCATATGGCTTTACTTGACTCTGCCTCTATGTCGAAGGCTAGAGAATGTTCTCTTTGTGCACACGAGGAAATGGAGATGGTTGGTAAGCATATAGCGTTGATCTGGCCAAATCTATCATGTTTGCTAAAACCCTCTCAATAAAATGTGTTTTATTCATATTATCATATTTAGGTTTTGATTTATAGAGTGAATCTCTGGCATTTTGAATTATTACCCATTTATCTTGATTTAGTCAATTGAGTGCATGCATAAGTATGCTGAATTCCAAAAATGAAGATAGCCAGGTCTCTGCCTTCAAGAGTTTGCCTTCTTGGAAGAGAAATAGTCATAAATAATTAGAATATAGTATAAAAGGCATAGCTATTTAAAAATTGCTAGTAAAGCATACAGGAAATAATTTCTCAATGGTGGGGATTATGTGTTGTTTGTGTATCATACAGGTCCACTGTATGTGTGAGCAGTCTTAAAAATGCTAATAAGGTGGGGCTGGGAGTTTAGCTCAGCGGCATAAGCACCTGCCTTGCAAGCAGGCGGTCGTGAGTTCGATCCCCGGTACCGATAAAAATGAAAAAGACAAAAAAAAAAAAATGCTAATAAGGAAAAAAATGAACATATTCCTAAGGAATTTGAAATACACTGAGGTGATTATAGAGGGACACATACAGATAGGGTTTTGTTTTTTCATAAGTGAGTGTCAAAATGACCACAGAAATATTAAATGACAGCTTCAGACATGTACCAACAGTAAAATGTCAGAAAGCTTTAAAGAATATTGTCAAAGTTTGCCTTCTTGTAAACTAGGAAGTGGTAAATTGAGGTAAAAACCTCTTCACAGGATTGTAAAGTATAAAATTTTACTTTTCTGGGATTTTGAGTTTGTATTCAAACTAGTTATATGTAATTTGGGTAGGTAGGGAGATTTAATAATTTAAAGTTACAAATAATAACTAAGATGCAATGAAAAAAAACTTTTGCTTAGTTCTTCTTGAACGAACTAAAAGTTCTGATCTTTCATGTACCTACTGAAAGCTTTTATTAAACTGTGAGTGAATATTGAAATCACTTGAGTAACATTTTCAGATACTTGTTTCCACATCAGATTTTGTGAATCAATCACTGGAGAGCAGCACCTTAGTTGAAAATCACTGATTTATTGTCACCCACCTCCTAGAATATCCTTACTTTGGCTTCCTATGCTGCTATAATGATTTACCATGAATTTAATGGCCTGAAATAACACATTTACTATCTCAAAGTTTTGAAGGTCAGAAGCCTAAAGTCAGTTTCACAGGGCTAAAATCAAGGTGTCCCTTGGACTGTGCCCTTTCTGGTCCATCTAAGGAAAGACCCATTTCGTTGCCTTTTCCTCTTCATGGGGTTCCTTGCGCATCTTGGCTCACAGCTCTTTCCTGGATTCACCCCAACTGCTGCTTCTGTCTTTACATCTACTACTGACCACGCTTCTCCTATGAGCCTCTCGTTAGGGGCTTTATGATTTCACTGGACCCCTTGTAGAACCTGCGATGATCTCCCAACACATAATCCTTAATTTAGTAACATCTACAAAGGCGTATTTTACCGTGTAAATTAACATAGTCACAGAGTCTAGGAAATAGGATGTCTTTAAGAAGGCTTTACTCAAACTACCACCTTTTCTTCATATGTAATTTTTAAAATATGAGAATTAGATTTATGAGGAGTCAATGAAAAGTTTAGGTGAATAGAGCATTCAACATAAGATCTGGTATAATCAGTAGTAAGGAAATATTAGATATTACACATTTTAAAATAACTTTTAAAATAGATACCCAATAAGTGCAACAGTGTCTTGTTTTGTTCCCTGCCATGTTTGTCTTGTATGTAATAAGGGTTCAAAAAAAAAAAAAAAGACCAAAGTACTCACTGCATTAGTGAGTTAATACCAAATGTTTACAGTGGGTTCATATCAGCATTTTAATGTTTTACCTGTTTCGTGTATGTATCCTCTCAATAAGCTTTAGAAACCAGAAAACTTGCAATTTTATATGTATATTATACATTTTCTAAAGCTTTTCTGTATCTACCAGAAGCTTGAGATGTTGGTGTATCTTAATAAGATAACTATTAAGTTAGTTTCTTAATTTAATATAAAGTCAGATTGGGGTTATGAATAAAATATGAAATAATTTTATAAAATTAGTCCTATAAACATATTGTGTAACTTTTCCACAACACCTCTAATAAGTTCTACAGTTTTGCACAGAAAGAATACTCAGCATACAGCAGAAAAACCGGCGGGAAAGGAAAGCTGGCTTCCCAGATGACCCTCAGCACTGCCTTGATGGACTTTTCCCTAACACACAAATTGATCCTCTGCCTTTAAGACTCACACATCTCATTCTATCAGTTCTGAAAGTGGATCTCCTTATCAGTAATAGGAACATACTGGTCAACCTTTGTGGAAACGATGTATAAAGTCAGAAGGCCAAACTTAAATTGCAAAGAGAAATAGATTTGAAAGGTAAAATAATTCAATTAGCATAGTCAGCACTTTCTTTTTGAGGCAGATATTTGAGGAAGTCAAATTATAAACATCAGGTCACCTGAAGAGCATGACTTCTGAAGATGAGCTGTTTATAACTTGGACCTTGAATGACCTCAGGTTACAACTCCCTAGATAGGGCCAGTTTAACTGAGGGAGCTGTTATCCTGAAAGTTCCCTGGCCAAGTCCCATTTCCCTGTACTCTGAGATGTTGGACCTTTTCCTACAACCATGTGACTTCACTTTTACTGCAGTTTCATTGCTGTTCTTTCTCTATAGTTAATGCAGTATTTTGAGTAACAAAAGTTAAATTATCAAAAATAATTTTATAGCAGAAAATCTATTCCAAACTTATCCCTAACTCTTATAAATAACAAGAATTGCTTATGTGCATCTTATATCCACAGAGGAGAAGGGAGAATATAGCAGTGTTGTTGAAGTCTTCTGGAGAAGAAGTCAGGCTTATCTTCACTAAACCGTCTTATGCTGTAATTCATCTCAGGTCACTTAATTCATCTAAGGTCTAACAACATGGTTCTAGCAATATTTGCATACCCATCAGCTCTTAAAGGTATCACACTGTTAAGGCTACTGACAAGAAGTGAGAAAGAAGACCATTTGCAAGGCACTGATAATTAAATTTTATGTTAGTAACTGGAATTTTATAATATCCAGTTAATGTAACTCAGGGAAATGCAAATTTTTGCCACTTTTATCAGTCTAGAGCAGTCAGGATTAAACAGAAATGCGAATAAGCATTTTTGAAGGATAAATCTTGGTTCATAATCTTTATTGAGTCAAAGCTAAAGTCCATAGGTTACATGGTATAATTTACTAAATCTACAGATTTTAGGAGGAACAAGCCAAACCTTTGTCAGGACCTGGCTTTAACTATGATCTCCAAAGTAGATCACCAAGATCTCTTAACAAGATGTCCTAGTAACAGTGATGAAGGAGGTGTACCATTTCCCAGATTTCTGCTTTGTGGTGTCATAATTTAGTCATTGTTGACAAATAAGTCCTGAGGTCTGTCCAGTTGCTGGGCCATTGTGGTGAGTAGGAAAACCCAGTGTGGCATTATAATTCTGTGATGTTGACTAATTAATACAAAATAAACATTGGGTCTGGCTTCGAGGTATTACATCAGTTCTGTTGCTATGATAAAATACCTGAGAGAGGTGTAGAAGGAAAAACATATTTTAAGTCATGGTTTCAGTTCACGGTTGGCTGCCTTCATTGATTTTAGGCCTGTGGTAAGGCAGAGACTTCATGGAAGAAGGGTACGACAGAGAAAACTGGTCACCTCCTGGAAATCTGAAAGGAGAGTAAGGAAGAGAGACGGAGAAGGGTGGGACAGAGATGGAAAAGGAGGAGGAGGGCAAACTGGGCACAAGTTATGGTCCTCAAGGTTATGGGCACAAAGTTATGGTCCTCAACTTCAACTAAGTCTCACCCTTCAGTAGCTCATCAGATTTTGAACAAATCAATGGATTAACCCATTAATGAAGTTAGAGCCCTCATGATCTAATTACTTCTCCAGCTTCCCCTCTGAGTACTACTGCAGCGGGGACAAAATGTTCAATGCATGAGTTTTGGGGAACATTTCTGATTCAAATCATAGCACAGTATCCTTCCCAGAGAAAGCAGTATGGAAGAAAAAACACATATATGCCCCTCAGAAGTGAGACTGACCTCACATCTGGACTTTCTGCAGCAAGGAGCTTTCCAACTTGATATAGAAGCCTTAGAAGCCAGCCAGTGACGGATTGGCGTGGAATTCAGCTGATGAGCCTGATAGAACCACACAGGGCGTGGCTACGGCAAACTTGTACTGTTCCTTGCCTTTGACGTTCGATCTGTGTCCTCTGGCTTCGTAAACAGGTTGCTCTGCCTGTCAAAGCATCTGGAGAGTGTCCAGTGTCTCTTATAGTTCTTTCATTGCAGGTGAGGGCAGTTTCTTTTTTGTCACTTAAAAAAAATTTTGGTGCATTGGGTCACATGATCGTGATCACATTCATCATACAAAATTTGCACTGTGAGGGCACCATTACACAAATAGTAAAGGCACGGTTACAGAATAGCAAACTTACAGACAGTTGTAGTAAATTAAACCTTAAATAGTGGCCTCTGCCTGTGCTCTTGCTGCTTGTCACGTAAGCACCAATCAGCTAAACTCAGTCAGCCTCGCCTGTCTGGGTCTAGCTGCTTTTCTTCTGATAATGCACTGAGTCAATTTGACTGTTCCCAGCGTGAAAAGAATATGTATTGTTACCATCTTGCTTCAAAGACTTTGGTTGGGGCAGAGTGGCTCAATCAGGGATACTTACCTTTACTTGCTCCACTCCAACCTCTTCCCCTTGCCCCGACCTAATTCATGTAACCAGTCATCTGTCATCTGCCTTGTACTTCCTGCTTGCAAACTGTATTTAAACTGAACTCAAAGCTGACTCACTGCTGGTGATTGATTGATTGATTGATTGACTGGTTGATTTTGTCTTTTTGAGACAGGGTCTCTCTATGCAGTTCAGGCTGGCCTTGAGCTCACTTTGTAGCCCAGGCTAGTCTCGAACCCACAACAACCCTCCTGCCTCAGCCTCCCAAATGCTGGGATTACAGGCATGCACTATCACGTCCAGTGGTTTGGATTCTGCTAACATCCCCCAGCCTGATGATGTTAAACTCAGTAAAGTTGCCTTCTAGATCCCTCAGTGTAGAGAGACTTCCATCCAATTTGATATTGGTTTTTCTGCAACATTTGGTGTGTTGGCCAGGATGGCACCTTGCTGGCCACTTAGACTATTGATGTAGGCCTGCTGGCCACTGCTGGGGTCCATCCCCTTATCTGTGGACGAGAAGGCATGCCCTCCAGAATTTTCTGAGTCTTCTTAGCAATCAAGAGAGCGGGCTTCTGTGCAACAGTAGAGACCTCATTAGACCCTGAGAGGAGTCACAGGACAACTGCACCAGGCATTCAGATAAGGTAGGCCTGCCCTGGGTTGTGTGTGGCAGTAAGCCTGTTTACCTGCTTTTTACCTTCCCCATGATGGATGAAGGAAGACCCTGAGGACTCCTTAACATCTCACACCTGTTCCAGATGTTGTCACAAGGCTATCTGCATAGCCTAACTTTATGTCATGACCTGGTCACCCAGGACCTGGCCACCTGGGCCAAGTCACACTGTGCCACTGCTTGTATTGACGATATTATGTTACCTTATTGTCTTGAGGATTTGAAAGTCACTGTGAAATATCTGGAGAAAGCTTTGCTGGCACAGGGGTGGGATTAAATGCAGGCAAGGTCCAGGGACCTGGCTTATCTGTCAAATTCTTGAGCGTTCTATGGTCGGGATGTTAGGGCACAAATGTATGATAGTAAAGGCACGGTTATAGAATAGAAAACTTGTAAACATGTTATAGTAATTGTTAGCCTCTGCCTTGCTCCTGCTGCCTGTCACATAAACACCCTGCTAAATGCAGTCAGCCTTGACTGTTTGAGTCCAGTTGCTCTTCTTCTGATAATGCGCTGGGCCAATTTGACTATTCAGCTCATGTTTCCCTTAATTAAGAAAATATATTACTTCTAACTGGCTTCCAGCACTTTTAATGAGGCAATGTAACCCAGTCTAAGATACTTTTTAATGGTTTTCTCCACCTGAACCCGCTCCTTTCATCCCCAAGATGTTCCTATGTTATGATAAACAATTCCTTTTTAAGAAAATATATTTAGAGTTAATTTTCCTGGCAATATATGACATATTCAATTCATGTAACCAACCATATAATACTTTGTACTTCCTGCTTGTTAACCATATTTCAACTAGACTTGAAGTTGGTTCTTTGCTAGTGACTGGGACTTGGTCCCACCAGTCCGCTGGCATAATAAATGGTTCTCTTCTCTAACGCCTCAGTGCAGAGAGTCTTCCATTTGGTTTGATATTGGTTTTTCTGTAACATTCTGGTGCATTTGGCCAGGAAGACACTATGCTGACCGCTTAAGGTTATAGTATAGGCATGTCACTTTCTTCCTGGGTTTATCCCCCATCTGCATGGGCCTGTTTATGGAGTCTCCTTGGCAGTCGAGGGATACAGGCCTTGCTGGACAGTGCAGCCCTCAGCAGACCTTGGGAGGAGTCAGACTGTGATGAGGGCTGGGCCCTTTGATATGGTAAGGGATACTCCTGGTCATGTTCTGCAGTTTACCTCGGTAACCTGCTTGTTGCCATCCTGTGGGCGAAGCAGGACCTGATCACTCCTCAAGATGACCTCTTCTGTCACCTGTTCCAGTTCAGAGGCAGCCACTGTTCCGGTTAGTCTTGCTCCTCGGGTTGGAGGGGGGAATGTACTCCCATAGTCAGCCTGTTTACCTGTGCATCTACCTGCTTATTACTGCTCCACTGTGGCTGCAAGAGGACCCAGTCACTCCTTAACAGCTACGTCTGACACCTGCTCTGGATCCAGCTCTTGTTTTAGTCAGAGCAGTCAACTGCAGGTATGGTTCCAGTTAGATTTGCCCGTGGGCTTGGGAGTGGATAAGTATTAACTTCTGTGTGCCTATGTGTGAATGTGTGCATATATGTGTACAAAATAAATTATATAAGTCCAAGGTCTCCTGGACACAGTTGGGAACTGAAAAAATGTTTGAAAACAAAGAGTAATTGACTGTAATGAGTAAAGACATTAAAAAACTGCTTAGCTTTAAACACTGGAATCTATAGGTGGGGTGATGCAGACAGGATAATAAAAAGAGAAAGAAAGAAAAACTGTCCACCTGAAAAGCCAGATGGTCTGATGGCTAAGTAAAAACCGGAATTGTCTTTTCCTTTCAAATACAGGAAGGACCCAAGATGGAGCCAAGCTCTCTTCCTGGCTTTGCGAGCCCTAAGTCTCGTCCATTCTTGACATCACCAGCCTGGCACTGCCTGTGGGCATCTGAAAGCTGGAGCAACTCCAGCCCTAGAGGAATAATAGCCAGAATCCTCTGAAGCCTAAGAAAGTCTTGGAGGAGAAATCAAATTACAAATTTTAACTGAAAATTGTACTTTTGTTTTTCAGTTTGAGCTCATATAAATAAATTTCTTGTACATTCTAAAGTTTTGAATTTACTAGGTTAACTTGTTCTTTTCCCTACTCTGTTGTTTTAAAAACACTGATTCAAAGTTTCTCAGAAGTCCATTGGCAGTTGGTCAAGTTTACTATCTGAGAAAAAAAAGGGACACTTTTAGGCTACAAAGTGAGCTCAAGGCCAGCCTGAACTGCATAAAGAGACCCTGTCTCAAAAAGACAAAAAGACACACACACACACACACACACACACACACACACACAAAGGAGACACTTTAAAGTTCAAGCAGCTACAGGCAAGTTTATTATGGAAAGTATAAGAAGGCTATAAATGTAAAAGGTATGCATTTGGTATGAGAGGAATCTACATGACAGAAGCCTTGTCCTGCTAGAGATAAGGGCGATCATGACAAGAGTAGAAAGCTTATGTATGACGAGGAAAGCTTGTGAAAGTAGTTTATTACAATAAAATACATGTATGTTCACTTGTTAATTTGGTGGAGCTCAGATTGATCCTTCTAAAAATGCTCATGAGGGAAACGGTCAAATCAACATGAGATTACCAGTTAAATGATAGCCTTTTAAAAGCTTATGTGATGTTTATGCTGTGTGTTACTTTACTCCGTACTAAGATGGTCACTTCAATGTATTATAAAAGTGATGTTATCATGATTGGCAAGCTGAAATATGTGTGGCCTCTGATCTCAGCTTTCCTTGAAAAACTGTATAACTTATATCTGTTAACACTCTGCAGGGTTTCAGCTGCTAGAACAGTGATGGTTGACAGAAAATAACAGTCCTTTGCCATGCTTTATATTTCAAAGTACTTGATATTTAGATAAAATTATAATAAATAAACCCACTGCAATCCTAACGCCACTGATTGTCTCTTCTGGGTGTTCAACAACTAAAACTTAGAGGCCAAAAACTAAAAAGGTGAGTACGCTAAGAGAAACAAAATGTGCCCCCAGTCAGTATACTCCAGTTTATTAGTTGTCCTCTTAATAGTTCCTGTTCTGGATCTGATTGCTCTTGTCTCTTGAAAACGGCTGGCTGCTGTGATACACAGTTGGTCACTATGATGATAGATTGTCAGACTGCTAAAATGTACCTCTCTTGCCTGTAAACCCAGTTCAAGATCCTTGAGCTGTCAATACCGCTGTGTTTGCCCTCACACTTTTGGACTGCGTTGGCTTCTGTATGCTTGCTCAGACTGTTAGTCCCTGGGAGAGGCCAGTCGCCTCCCTGTCTGCAACACTGGACTCAGGGTCAGAAAATGGCCCCTCTGTTTATGGTCCATGCTGCCGCCACCCTCTTAATCAAGGAGGCAAACAAATTGACTTTGGGACTTTGAGAAAAATCATCCTGTGGTGGCTGTGGAAACAGCACCCAAGACAAGGGAAAATCCTGGGGAATGACTGATGAGCGACCGTGGCCTCATCACGGCCACCTGCATCCATCTTCTTGACAGCTTGGAAGTCCTCAAGGGACTGGCACACAGTCTGTTTGGAGCCTGAGGATGTCTTGCAAGCCTTAAAAAGAATTAAAATGAAAAGAAAATGAAACAGTGCCTGTGCGCTGCTGCAGCTATGAGACAATGGGGCTGGAAACAAGCAATCAGGACCACAAGAAATCTTTCAAGTAGTCAATTTAGGCAGCGCCTCCTCCATGAGATGGGTTTGTAGATGTGCCAAGGGCAGTCCTGCAAGCAGATCATCAGCTGTGATAGGTTGGTTGATAGCAGCAGCTCACCTGGCTTGGGAGAATCCAGGTGACCTGGGAGCAAGTCACTATCTAGGCTTGATAATCATGCTACATCAAATGGGCATATGGCAGACGATGTTTGCATTGGAGCTCCACAGCCCAGGAGAGGAACTGCTGATGGCATCCACAGAGGACATGATCCTTGCGAGTGTGCTGGCTGTTACAGTGGTATCTCTTCTAACCCCTTTACAGATCACCCAATTCATGCTGCTGTTGATGCCTTGGCCGGATGAGAGTTGTGGAAGTGAAAGGCCAAGGTAAGATGAGATCTATAACTGTACTGGGATAAAGAGAACGAGGGAGGCCCCTGAAGAACAGGGCTGTCCTCTCACAGGCAGGCTGTGGGGCCACTGAAGGTCAGTTGGTGTCAGATCTAAACAGATCTGCTGGCTGCTGGCCTAGCTGCAGATAAGTTAGATGGCAGCCTTTGGATGTGTCGATGACCCTGTGGAGGTAGTTACACCCTGAGCAACAATGCTGGCCAATGAGCGAGGGGCCAGAAGGCCAAGGCAGCCCTGGTGAAGCTAAAGCATGTGACACTGGCCTCCTTTTAATATGATTAGGAGGCAGGCCATGCTACCCAGGTCTTGGTGGGGAGGGGTGCTCCTAGGAGACTGGAGGCCCCTGTGGAATTGACTATTTACTGATCCCCCAAAATTTACTGGACTGTTTACTGTGCAATGCGTACTATCTTGATGGATACCAGAGCTGAGTCAACACTAATGTGTGACAAACCAGACTGTTTTACAGGACCTGTTGCATACATAAAATGATACAGAGATCACTACATCATGGTCAAGAAACCCAGGTGACTTTGGTTATCAGGTGATTACCCCTATGCCTGTATGATGTTTATGATTTCCCAGTTGCTGAATGTATGCTGGGTGGGGGGACATACTGACTGGTGCTCAACTCAACACCACATGGCACTGACTCTCCCACAGGCCACATGGATTGTTGCATAACACACGAGCTGCCTGGAGACCATAAGGAGATAGGACAGCCTGTCTTGGAATTAAAAAAAAAAAGGCAGGGTGATAGTCCCTACACAGAACCTTTCAGTATGGTCCATGCAGAAACCAGACAGGTTGTGGCAACTGCAAAGTCTCACTCAGATGCCAGCAGTCAGGACCAATTTGCCTTCACCCATGAGAGCAGGCAGTGGACCTTCCAGATGTTACCACAAAGCTATTTGCATATCTCAACTTTGCATCATGGCCTGCTGGCCCAGGAACTGGACACCTGGGCCACGACACACACACTGTGTCACTGCTTTATATTGATGTTATGTTAACCTGATTGCCTTGAAGATCTAAAAGCCACCATGCACAATCTGAAGAAAGCTTTGCTGACATGGGGGTGAACCATAGATGAAGATAAGGTCCAAGGAATTGGCTTGCCCATCATATTCTTGGGTGCTGTATGGTTGGGTAAGACCAGACACCACCGACTCCTTTTACTAATGGACTTCCTGTGGTGGTCCCCTGCTTCCTGAGGTATGAAGGAGCCAAAGAGAATAATTTGGAAAGGAAAAAATTATTTATTAAAGGCCTGGCGATAGCCTCCATTAGCCAATATGGAAGACTGCACGCTTAACAGCTAACGGGCAGGATTTTTATCCTGTAAAACTGCAAACAGCTGCTGGTCTCACAATGCAGGGGGGTAGAGTTTGCGGCGCACTACAGAACAAGAATGTGGCGGTTACATTTCTTGGGAAGAACAAGGTTCAGGTGGGCTAACGAGCAAGTTATAGATTAGGCAAACATCTGCTCTTAGAGTTACCTTTGGTAGGTTACAACATTCCCCACTGATTTTATGTCTGCTTCCCCAAATCTTTGGGGAAGACTTGAGAACTAATCTTGATGGTGAACCGGTAACACTTCATAACCTTGGTGGCGTAACACCATCAGCTTCACATCTTGTACTTGCTGCCTGATAAAGGTAGTTAGCCTACTGACTATACAGGGGCCTATTAAAACCAAGCACTCCTAGCAACAGTCCAAGCAAGGGCAGAAGATAAGGCAGGATTCCATTCCAGACACTCCAAAGGGGGTTTTCAGATAGCTCTCTCCTTTTTACCAGGTTTTCAGGAGGTTTAGCCCTCTTCTATTTTGAAGGACCACTTCAGCTAACGAATCTATCTGATCCTGAATGTCCTGAATGGTACTAGATAATACCTGTACATTAATGATCTGGTTGGAAAGTTGAACAGAGACCCCTATTCCTGCTGCCCCCATACCCAGGGCTCCTGATATTCCCAGGCCTACCAATAAAGGAATAATCCAGGCTAGGAATGGGGACAGGCTCATCCTGGGTAAAACCTCTATGTCAGGCAACAGGACAGCTGTTCTTTGCTTACAGGAGGTCAAAACTCATTGTGTGAGGTTGGTAACAGCGCCATTAAAGTCCCCAGTAGTGGGATAGAAGGGACAAAAGCAAGCAAGTTAAAGCAGCACATGCCTGATACAATTTAGTTATGTGTAGTCAATTTTAACTTTAAGGGGTTACCAGTCTGCTGCACAGTCCATTCGTCCTGGGAAGGTGGGTCTCCTTGGGTGTCCAGACCTTCACATGAGAGTGGTAGATCCGAGGTGTTTTTTTTTTTTTTTGTCTTTTTCCTTTTTATTGGTACCAGGGATCGAACTCACGACTGCCTGCTTGCAAGGCAGGCGCTTATGCCACAGAGCTAAATCCCCAGACCGATCCAAGGTGTTTTTCCAGCCACCTTCACTGCAGTGGGAGAGCTGAGGACCATGGTGTAGGGTCCCTAGCGAGGCTCATGGGTGTCTCGTTGGTGACACTTGACTAGGACCAGAGTACTGGGTTCCACCAGTGGGCTGGACTCAGAGTGAGAGTCTACTGGAGGATGCTTTAGCCTAAATAACCAATGTATAGAGGTCAAGATGGGTTGAAGAGCCTGCAGGGACTTAATGAGATCTTGGTTAGTCAATTCCGCCAATTTTTCCTTAGAGAGTTTTGGAATGAGAGGAGGGGGCCTCTCCTACATTGCTTCAAAAGGGGATATATGAGAAACATAAGGAGTACATCGGGTCCGCAGGAGGGTAAAAGGAAGGAGACTTACCCAATTATTGCTGGTTTCTAGAGACAGCTTTGTAATCATAATTTTTAATGTCTGATTCATCCTCTCTACTTGCCCTGAGCTTTGAGGCTGGTACCTGCATTGAAGTTTCTAATCAACCTGTAAGGCCTGGGTTAGTTTTGGAGTTATCTGGGCTATGAAAGCTGGACCATTGTCAGACCCCATATATAAGGGTAGGTCGAAATGAAGAATGATCTCATATAACAACTTTTTAACCACTGTGAAAGCTGACTCTGACCTGGTCGAAAATGCCTCCACTCACCCAGTGAAGGTGTCGACCATCACTACTGGTAGGTATTTGTGTCCCTGGATACCCGGCTTCTTCATTTCAGTAAAGTCTATTTCCCAGTGTTCTCCTGGGGAAGTTCCCGGAAAATGAGTAGTTTCCATGTGGAGCTGTCGTTTTGGGTTAACTATTTGACATTGAGGACATCTTGAACTGGCAGCCGCTGTCAGTTTGGACAGCTGGGGTATAAAGAATCGGTCCCGAAAGAGCTTGGCTAGTTCTGATCCTCCCAAATGAGTGGACTGATGAGCTTGCTGAATGAGCTCCCGTCTGAGGACTTCAGGCAGCAAGATTCCCTTATCTGGTAACTGATACCAGCCTCCTGGAGTGTCAGGCTTCGCCTGGAGTTGGGTGGCCAAGTGGAGGTCCTTTTGTGTATACACAGGTTCTGATAACGTGGGAGGCATCAGCAAGAGGGTAGGCGTGGTTTCCTCCATGTCCCCTTTTTCAGACCCCACTAATTTTATGGCAGCTTCTTTGGCTGCCATATCAGCCAAATTGTTTCCCCTGATAAGGGGCTCATCTCCTTTTTGGTGAGCCTTGCAATGTATGATGGCCACTTTCTCAGGTAACCAAATTGTTGCCAGCAGGTCTAATATTTGGGGGGCATTTTTTATTTTATCTCCTGCTGACGTCAATAGTCCTCTCTCCTGATAAACTGCTCCATGAGCGGTAGCAAAAGCATATCTGCTATCGGTGTAGATGTTAATCTGCTTAACCTTCAGCCAGTTTCAAGGCTTTTGTCAAAGCGATGAGTTCAGCTCGCTGAGCAGAAGTGCCAGAGTCCAGCCTCTGTGCCCACAAAATTTGGTTCTGGGAGGTCACAGCCACCCATGCAACTCATTTACCTTGGTACATGTAGCTGAATGATGGTTCCCCTTCTAGAGGTTTGTCGATCAGGTTGGATCGAAGGCTCGTAGCTGTCAATCAAGGTGGAGCATTCATGGTATGGGGCTGACGGATCCTCATCGGGCAGCAGTTTGGCTGGATTCAGGGCCGCCAAGGACTTGAAAACAACAGAGTTAGGATCTAAAAGCAGTGTGTGGTAACGCATTATCCTTGCATTCAATAGCCACCAATCTGGAGGGGCCCGGATAAGAGTCTCAAGGGAGTGAGAGGTTACCACAGTGACCTGGCCAAAGGCGAGCTTTTAAGTTTCCTTTATCGACATAGCCACCGCAACAATGATCCTTAAGCATGGTGGCCAACCGGCGGCCACTGCATCCAGCCTCTTAGAGAGATATGCTATTGGTCTCTGCCAGGGCCCCAGTTCCTGGGTTATTACTCCCTTTGCAATCCCTCTCAGCTCATCCACATACAAGAAAAATGGCTTGTTTATGTTAGGGAGTCCTAGTGTGGGGGCATCCGCTAGGGCCTGCCTCAATTGTTGGAAGGCTGTCTCTTGCAGGTCTGTTCATTCCAGTGGGCCCTGCATTTGCCCTTTTAAAGAGTCATATAGTGGCTGGGCTATCTCAGCAAAGTTTGATATCCAGAGCCTACAATATCCAACTGCACCAAGAAACTCATGGACTTGCTTTTTGGTTTTTGGTGCCGGTATCTGTAGGATGGCTTGAACCCTTTTATTTGAAAGGGTCCTTTTTCCGCCTTGTAATTGATATCCCAGGTAAGTCACTGTCTGCTGGCATATCTGTGCCTTTTTTGCTGAAACCTTGGATCCCAAATCATTTAAAGTTATTAACAGGGCCTTGGTTGCTTCCTTGTCATCCTCAAAGGTTTTAACAACTACTAATAAATCATCAACATACTGCAAAAGTATGACCTCTGGGTGATCTTCTCGATATCCCATCAGGTCCCTAGCTAAGACCTCATCAAATAAAGTGGGAGCATTTTTAAAACCTTGTGGTAAACACGTCCAAGTCAACTGTTCTGTTACTCCAGTCCCTGGATCAGTCCATTCAAAAGCAAAAATGGGTTGACTTAACCGGAGCCACTGGGAGGGTGAAGAAAGCATCTTTTAGGTCTAAGACTGAGTACCAGATGTACTCTGGGCTCAAAAGGCTCAGCAGGGTGTAGGGATTAGGAACAGTTGGATGCAAAGTAACCACTCGCCTGTTGACTTCCCGGAGGTCTTGCACTGGCCAATAATCTTGGGTCCTCGGCTTCTGGACTGGGAGCAATGGTATATTCCAGGGAAAGATGCAAGGTACAAGAAGCTTATTATCTTTTAATCTAGCAATATGTTTTGCAATTCATTGACGGGCCTGTAAACTTATTGGATATTGTTTAAGGCGGATGGCAGACACCTGGGGCAACAACTCTATTACCAGAGGAACTTGATTTATTGCCAGACCAGGGGTGTTATTTTCAGCCCAGAATCCTGGTATCTCCTCTTGCCAAGCCTACAGGAGATCTCTATCAGTCTCTGGAGTGGGATCATCTCCCAGCAGGAGATGGTTTTCCCCTTCAGGAAAGAAGGCAAGCACCTTGATTTGTTCCCCAGGTGTTGTTCCCAGAATCAGTTGTGGGGTCTCTGCCTGAAAACTCAATTGGACTTTTAACTTATGAAGAAGGTCTCTTCCTAGCAGTGGATCGGGCATTCTGGAACCCATAGAAATTCATGCATAGTGGTCTTTTGTCTAGGGTGAGTTAATGGCTGCCACCTTAGGGTATGATTTTTGCCCTCTGGTGGCGCCAACCATATTTACTTTATTGTCAGTCAGAGTTCCCAACGGTTGAGTTAGAACAGAATAAGTTGTGCCTGTGTCCACCAGGAAATGTACTGGTTTTCCCCCCACTTGCAAGGTCATCTGGGGCTTGGGGGTGGGGGGCATCTGAGCCCTGACGCCTCATTGTTGGCTCAACAAAGTCTTAGCATCCCTTTCCATTTTTGCCTTTAACTTGGGGCAGTCCTTTTGCCAGTGACCTATTTCTTTTTTTTTTTTTTTTTTGTCTTTTACATTTTTATCGGTACCAGCGTTCGAACTCATGACCGCCTGCTTGCATGGCAGGTGCTTATGCCGCTGAGCTAAATCCCCAGCCCCAGTGCCCTATTTCTTTACAATAGGTGCATTGATTCTTTTCAAGTGGGGGCCACTTTTTGTCTTTCTCATCTGTCTTTTCTTTTTGTTTTTGCTTAGCTTCTTTTTCACACAACAGCTCTAATACCTTCTTATTGTTTGCCTCTTGCCAGCTCTCTCTATTGTCAAATATCCTATGTGCTATCTCTTTTAACTGACCTAGGGGCATCCCCTCAAATCCCTCCAGTTTCTGTAATTTTTTTCTAATATCTGGGGCTGACTGAGATAGAAAGGCCCTTGCATTCTCACATGCGACCGGATCAATTGGAGTATAGAGTCTATAGGCCTCTAGGAGTGCTCCAGGAATGCAGAAGGGGACTCACTAGCTAATTGCCTTACCTCTGACACCCTGGACAAATTTGTGGGCTTCTTAGCTGCTCCACGGAGTGCCACTAGAAGCAGTTGGCGATATTGGGTCAGAGCCTCCTTACCTCCAGATGTGTTGGGGTTCCAGTTGGGCCGAGATAAAGGAAACAAGTGCTCTAGTCATTCTGGATCAGCCGTGGGGGGTCTCATCTGGGTCCAAGATGCCTTTTCACCCTAGAGAATGGATGCGAATTTGCTCTTCAGAGGTGAAGAGAACTCTTAAAATCTGCTGACAGTTGTCCCAGGTGGGACGATGGGTGGAAAAAATAGATTCAATTAGACTAATAAGGTTTTTGGGATCCCTAGAGAATGGGGGTGGTTTTGTCCTTTCCAATTATACAGGTCAGAAGTGGAAAAGGGAGTTTAGACAAAAATCGAGTCCCCTGGTTCCCAGTGATCGGGAACCTCCCAAAGGGGGCAGAGTGCTGACGCTGCTGAGGTGGAGTCAGGCAAACTGGCTGTGGTGTGGAGGGTTGGGAGTTGGGCGCAGGTGATTTTGGTTTTTTTTCAATGTTGCCACCACCTCCTCCAGTGGGGAACAATGAATCCACGGTGGAGACTCATAAATGAGATCTATCCAAATCTGAATGTAAACAATTTGATCTGGGTGAGAAGGGGGCCCAAACACATATCAGAGGACAACCTGGGCAGTGCCCATGTCAAAGGATCTAGTCAGGGGCCAGACACCATTTGTCCCTATCGGCCACTCTTGAGAAGCAAAAATCATTAGTCTTCCTTTGAAAACAGGCTCCCCGTAACCCTCAGCTCACCTCTTAAATTCTTTAAAGTGATCCAAGACAAGACTAAGGGGCGTGGGAGCAGGTTTTGCACCAGACTGACCCGTTGTTGCTTGCTGTGGTTCTCTTGTAAGAGGAGGAAATCAAGAGAAAAGGTTAGCAAATACAAGAAGAGAGAACAAAAGACATGAGACAAGACAAGACAGGACTACACAAAGACATAAAACAAAACCACTACTGGTAAAAGTTAAAAGAACATTTCTCTGGCAAAATAAATGAATTTAGGGTGGAGACTTCCCTTCAAATTCCAATATCAAATTGGAGGGCAGCCCTGCTGAGGGCCAAGATCCAAATGAGTCAAGAGACTCCAAAATAAATGCTCTAGGATTCCCAACAAGGATCCGACCTCCCAAGGATGAGGGCGTCCCCTCCTAAGCAAAATTAAGACTTCATGGTATCACTTTAAATCAAATGGGGGCCTCCAATACTTGCTCTTCGTGAATCAGTCCTCAGGAATTGAGTCGGTGGGTTGTTATTCCATCCCGGACGAGCCCTCAAATGTGGTGGTTCCCCACTTCCTGAGGTATGAAGGAGCCAGAGAGAATAATTTGGAAAGGAAAAAATTATTTATTAAAGCACAGGCCTGGTGACGCAGCCTCCAGTAGCCAATATGGAAAACTGTACACCTAACAGCTAAAGGGCAGGGTTTTTAATCCTGTGAAACTGCAAACAGCTGCTGGTGGGGTGGAGAACAGGAACATTGTGGTTAAATTTCTTGGGAAGAACAAGGTTCAGGTGGGCTAACAAGCAAGTTATAGATTAGGCAAACATCTGCTCTTAGAGTTACCTTTGATAGGTTACAACACTCCCTATTACCAAAAGGACTAGAGAAACTGAGGAAAAAGGTTATCCTTTGTAATAAAAGCAGAGAGGAAATGTAAGGGCACCATTACGCAAATAGCGGAGGCACAATTACAGAATAGCGAACTTACAGACAGATGTAGTGAATTAAACCTCAAATAGTGGCCTCTGCCTGTGCTCCAGCTGCCTGTCACGTAAGCACCAGCTAACTGTCTGAGTCCCGCTGCTTTGCTGATAATGAGCTGGATCAATTTGACTGTTCCCAGCTTGTGCTTTCCTTCGTTAAAAGAATATATACTGTTTCCAGCTTGCTTCAAGGACTTTGATTTGGACAGAGTGATTCAGTCAGGGACAGCTTTAACTTTACCTACTCCACCCCCTCACTCTCCCCTTGCCAGAGGATGTGACTTAATTCTTCTAGCCAATTATGTAATAACCTGTCATCTGCTTGTAAACTGCATTTAAACTGAACTCAAAGCTGACCCACTGCTGGTGATTTGAACTCTGTTATAGTTCCCCAGGTGGCTGGTGTTAAGCCCCATAAAATTACCTTCTAGATGCCTCAGTGTAAAGTCTTCCATCTGGTTTGAAATTGGTTTTTCTGCAACAGTACCTTTACATGGTACATTATGTTTCTTCATTTTTTATCATTCCCCTTCCCTCTCTAATCCCCTACTTTATCTACAAAAGCCTTGTTTCCATTTCATTCCATTTTAAAAATTTTCTTACCTCTACTTTCCTTTCCCCCTCCCTTATTCTTCTTCTCATTCCAACACACCCTTACCACTTACCAACATCACTATCGCCCATTCATAGCTCCAGGTTTCCAGAAAAACCATGCAGTGTCTACACATGTGTATCCAATCTATCCTAATTAAGAGCATGGTCTCAAGTTGCAACTATTTACCTATAAAAGCCTCAAATTTATTCTTCTTCACACCTGAGTAGTACTCCATTGTAAAAAAACCCACATCTTTTGTATCCATTCACCATTTGATGGGAATTTGGGCTATTTCCAAGATTTAGCTATTATAGTGTGTGTTAGTAAGAACATGCACATGCATATATTGCTGTGGGATGACACTTTTTAATTCTTTTGGGAAGATACTGAGAAGTCAGATAGCTGGGTTGGATGAAATTTCTAGTTTGAGCTTTTTGAGGAATATCCACACTGATTTCCACAGTGGCTGCACCAGTCTACACTCCCACAACAGTGGAGAAGTGTTCCTTTTCACATAGCCCCACCGGCAGTTGTTATTGGTTGATTTCTTTTTTTTTTTTTTATTCTTTTTTTTTACTGGTACCAGGGATCGAACTCACAATTACACACTTGCAAGGCAGGCACTTATGCCACTGAGCTAAATCCCCAGCCCCAGTTGATTTCTTGATAACATCGATTCTTACTGGAGTGAGATAGAATTTCAAGGTTGTTTTAATTTTCATCTCGTTTTTTTTTTTTTTTTAATTTTAAAGGTAATAAAACCCACCAAAGGGCTGGGGATTTAGCTCAGCAGCATAAGTGCCTACCTGGCAGGTAAGAGGTCATGAGTTCAATCCCTGGTACAAATAAAACAAAACAAAACCAACAAAACAAAGCAGGATAAATCCAATCAAAACAAAGCAGTGAAATTAGCACACAATTTCAAAGCAGGATAATAGGAAAACAACAAAGCTACCATATTTCTTGTTATCGTCACAGTTAATGTCCATTCCATCAGCTATGGCAAAATTAAACTGAAACAAGATAGAATAAAACCAATCAAAGCAGAATACTGAATAAAGCAAAACAATCAGAACAAAATAAAATAGTGAGAACAATATTGGATTTCAAAAACAAGAAAGAAAAAAATCCCCCGTATTTGCTATATTGCATAGTTATCCTCCCAAAAGATGCTTAGACCACCAGCGCCAGGTCTGCAAAGTCAATCAAACAAGCATTCAGCTGCTTTTTGTACCTCAGTTGCTGTTAACTCAGCCTGTCTGCTGACCCAGCTATTTTCTTATGGGGTGTGTGTGGGGGTGGGGTTTGGGGGGGGGGAGTTGGGGCGATTTTCATCCTGCCTGTGGCAGGCTCATAGGAGGTGCTATCTGGCTTTTCTCTTCCTGGGCCCTGCTGGCTGGTTGGCTTGTTGGTCATCCGCTCCCAGTCCCAGCATGGCCGATTCTCGGGAGATACTGTCTGACTTTTCTATTCCTAGGCCCTGCGTGGTCTTGAGACCTGAAGTTTTTGGGTAAATAATTCTCAAGTTAGAAACCAGCCTTGCCAAACTAAAACATCTAGTTGAGATCTACAACAGTCAATAGAAATACATCGAGATCTAAACCAGTAGGGATACCTGGCTGGGTTCTTTTTTCAGATCCCTTAGCAGACCTTTCTTACTTGTTTTGGTCTTTGTAATTCTTCTTTGACTTTTTGGCTCATTCTTGGTTAACTAGTTAATCCAGATTCTCTTCTAGCTTTGAGTAATACACCCCGAACACATACCTGTCTTCCAACAACATCAGGCAATCTTCATTCAGATTTCTCATCTCCTTAGGAGGCAGCTAGACAGTTTTCTAAGGGAAAAAACCAAAGCCTCTTACCCCTGAAATAAGCTAACTCCATTTTAGTGTGGGCCCAGAAATATGCTGAGGTTGTGTGAAAAGAAACTATTGGCTGACCATGGTTGTTTACAACAGATCCATACCATCCCTAAATCCTCTTTTACAGAGTTCCTTCTCTCCACTAGCCCAAGGAGAGAGAGAGATTTATGCCTTCATTTACCAGAAAGATGGATCCTCTTCGTTCAGCACCCCATAAAGATTTTTGGGTGTTCAGATGTCTCAGGGGAGAATAGAACAGTAGAACGGGCCAGCACATACCATCCTATCCACCATGGGCTAAGTAACACCTCACTATCAATTATTAAGAGTCCAGTCCTTCTTGCTTAGGGACCCACCTCCCTAATTATCAAATAATGTGTACAAAGAAATAGCTCATAGCCAATTCTTGGGGGGAAATCCCCAGGTCAAGCTCAGATACAGAAACACCTCAGAGTGTGTGAACTTTGGCCAAGGATGAACTCTTTATCTCTTTATTTGTTAGGGCTGCATCTAGGATGCCATTGTGATGAGTGAACTGTGAGAAAGGACAGGCACATTAACACAGGGGAAGGGGTAAGGCACAAGCTGTCAAATACACCCAGGATGGACCTCTAGGTGGACCCGGACTCTGTACTAGAAAAGAAAGACACTTCAGCTCACACCCTGGGGATCCTGACAGTTTGTTTTTGCAGTGCAAGCCTGTTCCCTTTGAGTGTCCTAGTGCCTCAGCGAATTTCGTTTGCTTGCTTTTTTGTACCTGTGTGACTTGTCTAATTTTTGTTCAAGACACACATGAACCTGGACCCTTGGGACCCACAAGCACCCTGGTAAACCGGGATATGATGACACAATGACACTGCATTACCTCTTAAAATTTTATTTATTTTAAAGAGGATAAAACAATAAAACCAATCAAAACAAACCAGTGTAAAAGCTACAGGACTTCAAACATTATGAAATCAGCAATAGTTACCATAGTGCCATTTGATGTCTTCAAAATAGCCGCAGATAACTTCAGACACAGTAAAAATCAAACTGAATAGAATAGAAACAATAAAAACAAAACAATGAATGCCATAAAGGGCTTGAAAACAAGCCTATAGTAAATCCAAAATTGCTACCATGATATATCTTGTTATCTTTGAAATATCTCTTCCTGCCATTGGATTTGACAAAAATCAAACAAAACAAAAGGGAATAAAACTCAACCCAACAAAACAATGGAAATAATATAGGACTTCCAAAGCAAGACATAGGGAGTCAACAATGACTGCAACCCTCAGAAGGAGATCCCCATAGATGTCACACTGTACCACTATCCTCTGAGCCTATAATCAGACCTCTGGCCCTAGACCTGTAATGTTAGTGAAACACCAAAGCACCAAAGGCATCCAATTTCATTTTACCTCCATAGCCATCATCACAGACTGTGTTTCTCTGGATATGGCGTGGTGGTGGGGGAGGTGGTACATCATGTTTGCTAGCCTGCAAGCCAGAAGAGGCTGAGGTCTGTCTGTTCCAGTCCGGCAGCAGCCTGTGCATGGCACTGGTTCCCAGACTGGGCTTGCTTGCTAGTGCCACTTTGTTCTCTCTACCCCGGCCTGCAAAAGGTGAGAACATAAAAGAAGTAGGAACACAAACAAATGAACTACAAAAGCTATTCACAGAAATAATCCAGGAGAATTTCCCTAATTTAGCAAAAGGTAAAGATGCTCAGATGTATGAGGCATACAGGACCCCAGCCACCTACAACCCAAACAGAGCTACACCCAGGCATATAATAATCAAAATTCCAGACATCCAAAATTAGAACAGAATATTAAAAGCCGTCAGAGACAAGAAACAGATCACTTACAAGGGAACACCCATCAGAATTACAGCAGACTTCTCAGCACAAACCATCAAATCACAAAGAGCGTGGGGGGAAATAATTCAAGCTTTGAAAGACAATAACCTTCAGCCAAGATTGATATATCCTGCACAAGTGTCCCTAGAAATTGATGGAAAAACAAGGTGCTTCCAGGATAAAGAGGAACTAGAGGAATTTGCAACCACCAATTCAACTCTACAGAGAATACTGCAGGGTATTCTAAAAAAGAAAAATACCAAGATTCCAGAAACAGTGGCAGAGAGGCCACAATGAATGGAGCAGAAAGCAAAATGAAGAAGACAAACTGACAGCCAATGACAGAAAAAGAGCTCACCAGAAATGAGGCAGAGAAGGTTGGATGGTAGGAACAGCCATTTTGGAGAAAAAAAGACATCG